CAGACAGCACAACATGCCCCACAGCTGTGCCCACACCCGCCACTGCCCACCTTCTCCCTTCCCAGCCCACTCTCAGCTCAGGTACCTCCCGGAAGCCTCCCAGGGACCTTGGCATTGTCCGGGTTTCTCTGGTACCTTTGGCACCTTCCCTCAATGCTCTCAAGTTCATTTCTCACTGTCAGACCAGTTAGGTGAGGGTGGGCACCTTTAATATCAGCCCATTTGGCAGATGGCAAAACCATGTCTCTGCGTGGTAAGTCACTCAATGGTGCGTAACAGAGCTGGGATTTGGCCCCAGGAACTTGAGCTCCGGACCCTTCACTCCAGGAGCTAACACCCAGGGCTATTTCTCCTCATCGGGCCCCTCTCCTGCTCTAACCCCTTCCTTGGCTCCCCGGCACCCTCACTAGGGCTCTCGGAAGGCTTGTTAAACACGGCAGTTCCCGGGCCCTCTGTGCTCGGCCTGTCGAGTCAGGCTCGCAAAGATGAATATTTTAGGAATCCCTTCCCAGGGCCAGGCCTGACCCCCCACTCGGCTTTGGTGCTGGAGGAGACTTGCAGGTGCCTGGGGAGCTGCTGGGGTCAGAGTACCCTCTGAGGTGGGGTCCGGAAGGCCTTGGAGACAACAAGGCAGCCCAGAAACTAGGTAGCATCTTCTGCCCTTTCCAGAGGCTGGGCTGATGAGTCTTAGAATCAGATGGCCTGGCTGGACGTGACCTGGGACCAGCGGCTTCTGCTTATAGAGTTGTGGCTCCTGCAGTGTGAGACTGGGAGGTAATGACAGTGCTGACTTCACCGACCACTGTGGTGGCGATACAGACTCACACTTTTCAGTGCCTCGTACGCAGTAAGTGCTCAGTGAATGTCAGGTGCTCGCTCCCCCTCCTCCTCCTGCAAACAAATGCTGTAATGGTGCTTGTGATGCCCAGCGCTGGCGAGGATGTGGGCAGCTGTGACTCTGCCCGATTGCTGGTGGAGCCCTGGCGGGCAGAGCCCCTTTGGAGAGCCCTGGCAGTCCCGGGAAAGCTGAGCCTGTGCACACAGGCCTGCGGCCAGCCGCCCTGCTCCTGGCTAGTTACCCCAAAGAAATGAAAAGTGAAAATGTGTGTCCACAGAACGGCTTGATGAGAGTGTTCACTACAACTTACTCATCAAGGTCAGCAGCTGCAGAGCCCAGGTGCCTCTGGGCGAGAGAGTGGATGACAGACTGGCCTGCTCCCGCAGCAGAGTGGCATGAGCTCATATAGCAGAGAAGAACAGATCCTCGTCTCACCCACAGGAGTGGGTTTCACAGACATCGAGAGTGAGGGATGCTGCACATGGAAGGGCATACATGTGCCATTCCATTTCCATGACCCTCGAGAGCATCCTGGGCCCCCCACTGCGTGAGAGGTCAGGACAGTGCTTTCCCTTGGCGGGCAGCGACTTGGAGGGACATTGGGAGCTTCTGGAGCATTCAGTTTGTGAAAATTCATTGAGCTGTATACTTGTGATTTGGGCCCTTCTCTGTATGTGCTTTATAGGTTAATTAAAACTCTATTTTTTAAAAAGCGTAGTGTGTGGTTTAGTAGCCCGGCTCGTTCCTAAAGTCATCAGGATGCTCCTTGCGCGGGGAGGGGCTCCCAGGTTATGAGCTGGACCAGGCCGATACCATCACTCCTCCCATCTCGCAGGCAGGGGACAGGCCCGAAAACACCCAGAGGCATGCCTACAGTCCAGCATGCCTCAGATTCTGGGAAAGGAAAATCCCAGAGGGCTGTGGGATCACAGCCAGCTTGGGGATCAGGAGGGCTTCCTGGAGGAGGGGGTACCTGAACTGCTACCTGCAAAAGAATTACAAATAAAAGTTAAAGTCTGTAAGTCTGTACAGTAACCTGCAGGGCCTGTTACTTGCTTGGCCCCGTGTTCCCCCCCACCCCTGCCACTACCCTCCACCACACAGGCCTCCCTAGGGTTCCTGCATATATCGCCTGAGGGCCTTTGTACTTGCCCTTCCCTCTGCCTGTCTGGCTTTCCCCCAGAGAGCCACCTGGCCTACTCCTTCTCCTCCTCCTCCAACTTGAGGCCTCCCCTGACCACCATATTGAACACTGCACCCCTTCCCCTACTTTATTTCTGCCGTCAGCCTCTGATGTACTGTATGTGTTGTGAGGTGCTTGTCTGGTTCCTCCAGAGCTGTGTTGTCCAATACAACGGCCAATATCCATATGAGGGGACTGAGTGCTTGAGACGTGGCAAGTCCATATTTGCAGTCCTGTCAGTGGATTTTATAGACTTAGCATGAGAAAAAATACAGACCATCTCATGAATTATTTTACATGGATTAAATGTTAATTAATAATATTTTTTAAAAAATTATTTATTTATTTTTAGAGAAAGGGGGAGGGAAGGAGAAAGAGAGGGAGAGAAACATCAATGTGTGGTTGCCTCACATGTGCCCCCCACCAGGGACCTGGCCTGCAACCCAGGCATGTGCCCTGACTGGGAATCAAACTAGCGACCCTTTGCAGTCTGGTGCTCAATTCACTGAGCCACACCAGCCAGGGCAAATAATAATATTTTAAAAGACTTTATTTCTTTATTTTTAGAGAGAAGGGAAAGGAGGGAGAAAGAGAGGAAGAGAGACATCAATGTGTGGTTGCCTCTCATGTGCCCCCTACTGGGGACCTTGCCTGCAACCCAGCCATGTGCCCTAGACTGGGAATCGAACCAGTGACCTTTTGGTTTGCAGGCTGACACTCAATCCACTGAGCCACACCAGCCAGGGCTAAATAATAATATTTTGATAAACTATACCATTAAAATTATTTTACTTCTTTTTTTAACCTTTTTTAAAAATGTGGCTATTAGAAAAAAATTTATTGCATTGTATTTTTACTGTCCATCTCCTTCAGTGCTGGGGATTTGTTTCTTTTAATTACAGCTGTACTACTAGAACCTAGCAAACAGTAGGTGCTCTACAGATGCTTGCTGCAGAATGAATGAATTGCTCTCCACCATCATCTGCACCAGCCTCAGGAAGGGAAAAGAACAGCCTGCTCTGGATCTTGGGGGACATAGAACCTTGGAGAGGGGGTTCGGTGCCTCTCCCCAGTGTTGGCCTAGAGTTCCTCTCTGCTAGGCCTGGGGTAGGGGGTGGAAGAGGGTCAGAAACCCCAGCAGCTTTAAACTCTTTTGTGCCCTCCCTGAGCCTTAGTTGGCATAGGCCTGGCGGCAGGGTGGATTCTGCGTTGGGTGGCCCTTGGGGAACCCTGGAGGGAGACCCTATCATGCACTGAATGTTCAAGACCCCCCTCCCCCATGCCAGGTCTCAGAGGGGGAGGCTGCCTCTGCAGCTCCCGGGCACCCACCCCAGCTCCCCCGCTCCCCTTTCTCTCTCCTCCAGAAGGAAGGCTTAGCCAGGCCCGCAGGAAAACCGCAATTTGCTTCTGACATGACACATTGACGGGTTTCTGGCGGCTGTGCCCCCTTTGTGTCCCCAGAGCCCTTGCGGGCATATAAGGGCCTTCCCCAGGCCTGACAGGGTGGAGGAGCCAACAGCAGGCTGGGAACTCCCACCCGCCCATCGTGGAGCTGCTGGAGCAGGTAAAGCAGCCTGTGGCAGCCCTGGCCTTGTCCGGTCCCCACCTTCGACCCTGTGACCTGCCTGCTGTCCCACCTGAAATACAGGCGCAGAAAGAATTCACCATAGGAGGGCACTGGGGGTATCTGGAGGGTGATGAGAGAAAAAGGCCATTTTACAGATGGGAAAACCGGGGCTCAGAGATGAGTAAAGGCAGGGACAGGTGGGTCGAGGACAGAACTGTCCTGTGGACAGGGCTGGAGGGGCACCCAGTTTTCTCTAAGCCCCTTGGTTTCCCACTGTGGGGACCTTTCCCTCTGGGAGAGACTCTGAGGTTATTACAGGAAGCCGCCCTGGGACTAGTTGTGGGGAAAGCAGGCAGACTCTGCCGAGACCGATGCTGGGTTGTGTGCGACCACACGCACCTTGTGCCACGAGGATGACGTGCCCTCTCTGGGCAGAAAGAGCGGCGCCAGGGCAAACTGGGGGCGAGCAAGGTGGGGCTGGATTTCCTCTGCTCTCACCCCCACAACCGGCACCCCGTCCAGCACACAGCCACGCAGGAGGCCCCGGGCACAGTCCCTGCCTCTGGAGCTCACAAGGCAAAGGACACAAACGCAGTGCCTAATTGCAAACAGTGATAAGTGCCTAAAAATAAAAATTCTGGGTGATGTTCAGAGAGAGACAGGCTTCTTTAGACAAGGTTATGGAGAGAGGACTTTCCCAGGAGGTGACAGGTGTTTGGAGCCTGAAGGGTGAGGAGTCAGTCATACAAAGAGCGAGAGGCAGAGCCTTCCTGACTGAAGGAGCAGCCGAGGAGGTCAAAGAAGCAGGCAGGGGCCAGTGGGACTGGTGAGGGGCCTGTTCTAACCAAGAGCAGCGGGGAGTGGGGTCCCCCAGGCAGGGTGATGTGAGGGAGTGGGACGGCATCTGGCTGAGTGGTGGGCAGGGCTGGGACTCCATCCAGAAGACCCTATTGGATGAAGCTGGGAAGCTGGCCGTGCTCTCACCTCCTACCCTGCTCCTGTCTTTAGTATCATTCAGGATGGGGCGAGAGAGGAGGAGAGAAAGGAGACATTTAAGTCAGATGGACTTGGGCTCAAACACTGGCCCTGTCACTGATAAGCTCTGTGACTTCGGTCAAGTCCCCACCTCTCTTCGCCTCAGTTCCCCCGCCTCTGAAATGAGCTCCAATGAGGAAGGGGCTCAGAAAGTGCCCCGGAGGCCGCTGCACTCAACGAGGCTGCACCCTGCGGCACACGTATTAGCCACTGTCTGCACTGGGATGGGGAGGGCTTTTCTGGGAGGGTCGCTGAACTTGAACTGTGCCAGGCCAGCAAGAGGGCCCTAGGTTGGTGATGGGGTACAGGGAGGGGAAAGGCTTGGGCATGAGAAGCGCCTCAGAGTCCCTGCTTCCGTCCCAACAGGTGTGCCGCCAATGTCGGGCATGTGGTCCCTGCTTCTCCTCTGGGGCCTGGCGACCCCATGCCAGGGGCTGCTGGATACGGTGGGCACCCTCGCTCGGATTGACAAGGATGAACTCGGCAGAGGTGAGCCTGGGGTGGACAGTCTGTGAGGGGCCCAGCTGCAGCGTAAATGAGCCCACTGATGTGGTTAGAGCGTCTGCTTTCAGGAACAGATGAGAACAGGCTGCGATTCTCAACCGCACAGAGAATTCAGGGGTTTGCTTGCAGACTCCAGCGGGTGATGAGTGCACTTTCTTCTAGGAGGCGGACTGGGTGATGCGGGCTGGGGCCGCGTGGGGCTGTGTGTCTGCCTCAGGGATGGGGATGAGCAGGCCTGAGGTCAAGGGTAGTGTGCTGGCTGTCCCCCATTTCTGGAGTGCGGGAACTCAACTAGGTATTCTGCGCTCCAGGGTCCACTGCCTAGAGTGACAGCCTTATGGGCAGTAGAGCGGTCATGAGCAGAAAATGCTTCAGGGAGGGCCACCCCCCACTGCCCCAGCCCCCACAAGGGGCCCCTTCTGTCTTGCTCTTCTCACAGTCTGCGCAGAGTCAGGCTGCAGGTGCCCAGGAGGAGAGAGGTCGCCTCCTCTGCCTTGTTGAATCCCTGGTGGCTGTGTGCTCCTTCCTTTGCTTCCGTCTTCCTTTTCGGTGCTACAGGGAGGCCCAGGGCCAGGAGCCCTAGTCATACCATTGGCCCCAAACCCAATTTGCTATGAGACTTTGGGCAAGTCTCTGCCCCTCTCGGGGCCCTAGTTTCCCCACCTGTAAAATGAACCTCTCTCTCCCCACCCTCCCTGCAGCCATCCAGAACTCGCTGGTCGGGGGCCCCATTCTGCAGAATGTCCTGGGAACGGTCACATCAGTGAACCAGGGCCTCCTGGGTTACCAGGGGCTGCTTGGAGGAGGAGGCCTGCTGGGCTATGGAGGAGTTTTTGGCGTCGTTGGGGATCTCTCCGGGTGAGTCCCTGCAGTGTGACCTCCTGACTGTCCACCTACTGTGTGCCCTACAGGAAGGCTGGGATCTTCTTCACTTCAGGGAACAGAAGAGAGAGCACCTCTCTTTAATTTGTTGGCAGGTAGTGGGAGTGATGAGGGGAGCCCTGAACAGGGAGTCCTAGGGCCTGACTCAGAAAATAACGAGTGTTCTGCACGTCAGGCATGGCAGGACTGGCATCGAGCCCCTAAGGCTGCGTGTTCCTGCTCTGGGGTTGATTCCAGTTACTCGCCGTGGGGCCTGGGCAAGCTGCTCAGTCTCTCTGGCCTAATCCGGGTGTCTGCTCCCAGCAGTCCTGCCCTGACCAGCCCTTCATTGTCCCCTCCTTTTTTTCAAGTTCTCCGGGGGACACGCCCTTCCCCTGCACCCCACGCATTTCACTGGTTTCCTGTCCACTCAGGTAGATTCACACCCCAGGAAGAGTGGGACTTCCGTCTGACTTGTTCACAGCCATGTCCCCAGGATCATAACTAGTGCTTGACACATACTAAATGCTCAAAAATATTTTCGAGTGAATGAAGCAAATCACATAATAACTAATATTTATAACTTAATGCCACCGAGCCAGGGTTTTCTGGGTGCCTGGTGCTGTCCTAAGCACTGTAGATGACCTATCCCACGGAACCCGTAGGTAGGACTGTTCTCCATGCCATCTAATGGGTGAGCAGAGGGAGGCAGCGAAAGGACCTGTTCAAGCTCACCCGGTGGTGGGTGGTGTCAGTAGGGGGTCTGGTCTGGGTGTTTGCTCACAGGCCATCCTGCCTGCGCCTAGCAGGTGGAACCAGTCCATGTGGGGTGGGGGGGGGGGTGAATCAGGGGCAGGTCAGATGACAGGCCCCAGGTGGGAGGCAGAGGGCCAGGGGTCGGGGTGTGGGGAAAAGCCCCTGCACAGGGGGAAGTGGCTTGCTGGGGGAAGAAGAGGGAGTGGATGGCCACCTCCCAGAAGAGCAAATGAATACGTATCTGGAAAGAGGGCTGGTAAGGGCTGACCCTCGTGTTGCTGGAGAGTCATTGTATGTCATTATGGTTGGTGTTATCAAAAATCCCTATTTTACAGATGGGGAAACCGGGACATGCAGCAGCAATGTGGTTTGCCCAAGGTCACACAGTCCGTAGGAGAGCCAGGATTTGAACTGCTGTCTTTTATGGGCTGCACTATGAGCAGCTCTGCAGGGGGTTGTTGCCAGGACAGTGACTTCATCTGTGTCAAACAGCTAAAAGAGAGGCTTACATACACTAAATGCTCGATAACTATTAACTGTTATTATTATTATTATTATTATTAATAGATCCAGTCCCCCTCCCACCAGAGAATCCCCCTGTTGCATGAGGCTGAGGCCTCAGACACCAGCCAGATGTCGCCCTCACCTCAAAGGGCCCCCAGCAGGAGGCCAAGCCAGCAGCGGTGATGCTGTGAGCTCAGGGCAGGGATGCGGGCAGCCTAGGCAGCATGTGGAAACTGGCTTGGAGGGCAATTGCTTAAGTCAGGGATGGAGGGAGGAGGCCTTCCTGGAGGAGGGGATGCCCTGGCTGAAATCGGGAGAGTCGAGAGGTGTCAGCTAGCTGAAGGGGGAGCCAGGATGGAAAGAGAGGCAAGAGAAGAGTGTTGCAGACCGAGGGAAGAGCCTGCACAAAGACTCAGAGGACGGAGAACATGATGAAGTGTGGGAGCTGTGTTTGAGAGTCCATTCGGGTTGCACGTTCGTGAGCCAGGGGTGCGGGAGTGGAGGGGCATTGATGTGGGCCAAAGGCAGGCCTGAGGCCGTGGGGAGGGGGTGGAGAGAACACTCTCATTGACTGAGCCTTCGGTGAGGACGGTGATACTACATTTATCGAGCGCCTGCTATACCAGCTTTGGCACCTACATTATCTCACATGTCTTTGTGACATTGCTGTGAGGTGGGTGCTAGTATTATTGCCGCACTCTCTCCGTGAAGAAACCGAAGCTCAGATAAGTGAAATAACTGGGCCCACATTTGAATTTATGGCTTACAGGTGGGGTGGGAGACACACCCAAGGGGGCTTGTAGGCCCCTCCTGGTCTGGGATGTGCCAGGCACTAAGGGGCTGGTCCTGGGCGCCCTCCCCCTGAATCCCACACCAGGTTGAGGATCCAGGAACTCACACTGCCCCAGGTGTCGCTGAAGCTGCTGCCGGGATTTGGGGTGCAGCTGAGCCTGCACACCAAAGTGGGCCTGCATGGCTCTGGGTGAGTGTGCCCTGGGAACCTCTACCTTATTGCTCCTATCCCTCCCCACTGCCTATTAGGGATCCCGACCCTATTGTCCCCCCACACCCACCCCATTGCCCCCTATTTCCTCCCGCTCGAGTTCCTCTCCAAGGGACTCCCACACTACTGTTCCCTTCCCTCTGAACCCTGTTACTCCTCCCCAGGAACCTCCATCCCACTGACCTCCAGGGACTTCCATTTTATGCTCCCTGGGGACCGCTACCCCATCGATCGGAGCTCCCTGAAGGGGTGGGGGAAGGATGTGCAGGGATGAGCAAGATGGGGGATGTGCTGGGAAGCAGAGGTTGAGAGGAGAACATCGGGACTAGGCCACTCTTAAGGCCACCCAACTCGCTCCTCATCGGGGTTCCTGTGCCGGGGTGGGCGTGGTTAAGGCGGGCCCTGTTGGGTGGAGCCTGGCAGCCTAGCCAAGCCCCCAGCATCGGGTCTCGCAGGCCTCTGGGGGGCCTCCTGCAGCTGGCCGCGGAGGTGAACGTGTCGTCGCGGGTGGCGCTGGGCATGAGCGCGCGGGGTAAGCCCATCCTCATCCTCAAGCGCTGCAGCACGCTCCTGGGCCACATCAGCCTGCTCTCGGGGTGAGTCCGCAGGCTCCAGACCGCGAGCACTGGGATCTCTTGGGTCTCTCCGAGCCTGAACTCATACCACTCCCAGCCGATCCTGCTCCCCTTGTACCCTCATCCCCCGCTCCAGTGAGACCCTACACGGACTCTGGCCCAGCACTGCTTGTGCCACCCACTCCTGGGTGTCCTCTTTCTCTGGCCTCTGAGATCCTGCTGTCCCCTTTCCCAGACGGATCAGGGGCCCTCTGTGGTCTCCTTGATCGGATCTACCTGCATCTCAGTCCCTGCTCTCTGCACATCAGAGACCCAGTCCCGCCCCTGACTTGCTGTGTGACCCGCCAGGGGAACTGTCCCCTATCTGGGCCTCAGCGTCCCCATCTATATAATGAGGGCTTGTATTCAACGGTCAGGAAAGCTCTGGCAGTTTCACATCATCTCTCCCCCATCCTCTCTGGCACAGCGGCCCTCCCCGCCCTTGTGTTGAATGATCACTTCCCACTTCCTGGGAAGGACGGAGGCCGGAAGAGGGAAAGGGATGTGCCCACCTCGCACGCACAGGCAGAGGCTGGTCTCTGGACCAGTGCTCTGCACCACCCTCAGTGGCGCCTGCCAACTCCCCTGCCTCACGTTCTGTGTCTCCCCCGAGTTTCCACTTTCCAGGCCTAATCGCATGCCCACACCCCATCTTTGCTGGGTGGCCCTGAGCAGTGATGGGTCATCAGGCAGCTCTGTTTTAGCTGCCAGGAGTGGGGCGAACCAGGCTGGCTCCTCTCTCCAGAAGGGCCTTACTTAGTAAGGAGATTCCAGACAGGGTCTTTGGGGCCCTCGCATCCCACTGGCCTCCTCCTGCTCCTCTGGGCTGCAGGGAGCCTTGGGGGCAGCGGAGCCCAGGACCCAGGACGGTGTCGGTGTCCTGTGCTTGTGGCTCTGTGGTCACCACCCTCCCTCTGTAGCCCTATAGTCTTTAAATAGACCTGAGCCCGTCTACATGCACTTTTCATCTGCAGGCAACCCTCTGATTCATTCATTCATTCATTCATTCATTTGGTGAATATTTATTTATTCAACAAATATTTATTGAGCCTTCACTCTAAGCCAGTTGCTGGTCTAGGTTCCAATGTCACTTGTCTGCAAATGTTGGAGGAGACAAAGGGGACAGATGTTTACTGAGCAGAGTGAAAACCTGGCACATACACACTCCCATCTAATCTCGGCAGCAACTCTGTATGGCAGGCACTGTACAAATAAGGAAACGGACTCCTCCCCTGGGGCTCCTGGTGAGGTAGAGCCAAGATTTCAAGCCGGTCTCCAAAGCCCCAGCCAACCAACCCCACCGAGAGTGGAGACAGGAGTTATCCAGGCCCCCAGGGCCCTCCCTGCCCTGATCCCGGTGGGCGCTGGCCCGGTGTGAGGGCCACACCCTCAGGCTCCTCACTCTCCCCAGGCTGCTGCCTGCTCCGCTCTTCGGGGTGGTGGAACAGACACTCTTCAAGCTGCTGCCAGGACTGGTGAGTGTGGGGGCCTCGGGCCAGGCATGCCCTCCCGCTGGCGCTGTGCCTCTCCTCCCCAAGCTTTGAGTAAATCTAGGTGCCTGGCAGGATTAGGCTGTTCTTCCCTTCTACACCCACCAGGTAATCCCATCCTGGCCCGTCCACAGCCACCCCGGTGCCGCCTGCAAGTCTGTAGCGGCTGGCACAGCCCGTCCCCAGACGCCCGTCCCTGGACCTCTGAATCCTAAGTTTACAGCTTCAGGTCACCTGACTCTCTTGCCCCTATATTCATGTCCCTTTTTTACCCCCTGCTCTGTCTTTGCCGCCTGCATTACTATCTACTTTAAGCTTTGTTTTAAACGAGCTTTGAATTCAGCTTGGATCCCTTGGTGATTTTCAATGAGCCCTGTGCTTGGCAAACATGTTCAGAAAATCACATACGTGTATGTTAACACTTCATGAGAGAAACACTTTATGATTAAACTGCTCCAGGATGCTTGTGGGTGGTGGGCCCCAGACATCCTGGCTTCTCCCAGGGGACATGGACCACACTTGAGAAAAGCTGGTCTGGCCAAAGGCCCATTTCATTGAGGCCACAGAAAGGAGGGGTTTTCCGAGGCCACAGGGTCAGCACAGGGACATCAGGCCGCCTTATCCCCAACCTGGTGGGACCTCTCTCATGGCGAGTCCTTGTGAAGACCACTTGTAGAGGTAGCACAGGCGTGGGGGCCTGAGGTTGGCACGACCACCCTGGACTTGAAGAAGCCGGTCAGAGAGAAGCTCGGGGGAGGAGGGACGCTCCCAGCAGCGAGGGCCCCACCCAGGCCCACTTCGGGTGGATTCCAACAAGGGGGTGCGTTTAAATCACCGCGCCTAACTAGGTAAGGTCTCTGGGACAGCTCACTGCAAGACGGGATTTGTGTGACTCAAAGAGGTTTTAAAAATCAGAGCTAATCACTAGCATTTAGAGATTGGAGACTTCTCTTAGCAATCTGATTTCTGGCTTCCCTTGTGCAATCAGCCACCCCGGCCGCAGGCACACGGCTGGCGCCAAGGGGCCGGCTCCCCCACCCATCACGGCCCCTTTGAGGTCCTCTCGTTTCCGAGGCGTGCCAGACTCCAGAAGCCATGGAACTTGAGGTCCCAGACTTTACATAAAAAGGCAGCCCTCTCTGGTCTCTTTAAGGACAGTTGTGACCTTGGGCAGGTCGCCTTTCTTCTCTGGCCCCAGACGTAGACTGAAGGGCCTGGACTGGGCCAGCTCTGAGGTTCCTGCTCCTGTAGACTAAGATTCTGTGATTCGCAGACTCGGGGTTCTGGGAGCCGAACCACTCGCTCCCTGTTCGCACAGCCCAGGGGTTTTCAGGAAACACGCGGTGGTGTGCGCAGTGAATGCCCGGCCCAGGCCCGACTCTCTGGGGGAAGAGGGGGAAGCACCCTTCTTCGGGGTCCGGATGCTGGCTCTCCCGGTGTCTACCCGGATGGCAGGAGAGGCCTGGGACCTCAGAGGGAACAGCTGCCCGTGTCCCCTCAGGGAAGGGCCATGTCCACACGCCATAACTGGCCTCTGAAGTACCGCATTTTTAGGACTAAAAGACACACACCTGGGTTTTAGAGGAGGAAATTAGGGAAAAAAATTTTGAAGCAAAAAATGTGGTACAATATTTAATAACCTGTGACCTTGCTCCACTGTCGCCCCCCCCACACACACACAGTGAGCCAGATAAGCTACATTCAGACTATAACGTGCACCCCCATTTCTTCCCAAATTTGGGCGGTGCGTCTTATAGTCAGAAAAATATGGTCTATCTCTTTCATTCCTCCAGCGTTCTTCAAGATTTTCTAAGGGGGCCACGTAACTGACCCTCCGCATCACCACTCTGCCCTCCCAACACATGAAGCTTTGGCCCCTGCCCTGTCCCCGTGTGTCCCCTCCCCCCTTCTCTACATTCTGCCTTGCCTTGATCTCTGGGACCACATAGCAAAACATTTATAGAAAATGCAGCTGTCCCCTGTGCCAGGCTGGGGCCCACACTTATTTTCCTGTAACACCCGTCTCCTCCGGACACAGCTGTGCCCCGTGGTGGACAGTGTGCTGGGCGTGGTGAATGAGCTCCTGGGGGCCGTGCTGAGTAAGTTGGTGTCCTTCCCTTTGCCCCTTCTCCCACCGGCTTCCCATTACCCCAGTGGGAGGCGGTACCAAGGGAGCAGGAAAGGACAAGATTCTGGGACCTTTCACTTCCTCTCCGGACTGATGAGGCTGCCACTTCGAGGAGGCCAAACAGGGGAGGTCTGGGTTGAGGCTGGTTCAGCAGGGTATGGGTGCAGATGATGATGATGATGATGATGATGACGATGATCATCATCATCCCGACATACAAGATGACCAAGGCCCAGAGATCGAAGTAGCCCAAGGCCTCACAGCCACAGCGGCCACCTTTCTCTCTGAGCCGTATGGAGACACGGATGCCTTTGGCGTTCCCAGGTGGGCTTTAGAAAGTATGAAACGGTGCAGCTAGGATAAGGATAGAGAAGTGGGGGCAGATGTGTCTCTCTAAGTGGTGTTGTGTGAGAAAGGCAGGGTAGCCGTGTGGTTAGCAACACCAGCGCTGGAAAACGGGAACCCTGGTTTGCCACCCTGTGGCTTATGTGGCCTTGGGCTGGTGACTCCCTCTGCCTAAGCCTCAGGTTTTCTATCTGTAAGATGAGGATGACGGTGACGCCCAATGAGTATGTAGCAGAGTGCCAGGTACTCAAGAAATGGAAGGAAGGCCTGTTATAATTGGGGGCTGGGCTCATGGGGTCTTTCTCCCTCCTCCTCTCCCGATGCAGGCCTGGTGCCCCTTGGGCCTCTTGGGTCTGTGGAATTCACACTGGGCACGCTGCCGCTCATCTCTAACCAGTACATAGAGCTGGACATTAACGTGAGTGCCCTCCGAGGCCCTGCCCACTGTGGGGTGGGGCGGGGTACTGGTGGAGGCTGGGTAGGAGAAGCTGGGTCAAAGCCGCATGGATGAGCAGCCCCGAGACCCTCGCATGCCCTGTCTCCCGCCCCTGCAGCCCATCGTGAAGAGCGTAGCTGGTGACATCATCGACTTCCCCAAACCTCCCAAACCCCCCAAACCCATCAAGGTGCCTCCCAAGGAGGACCACACATCCCAGGTGACCGTACCTCTGTACCTCTTCGACACCATATTTGGGCTCCTGCAGACCAATGGTGCCCTGGACGCAGACGTCACCCCTGAGCTGGTGAGTGTGGCCCCCTGCCCTGCTGTGCCCTGGAAATGCTCATGAAGACCCGGTCACGTCATCACTGATCAGCTTCGATGAGCCCTTTTCTCTGTAACTGGACAGAGTTGCACAAGTTTATAGCATGCACACGCCTACTCATGCCATTGTGGCAAGCATTTCTAGTTGCTAGTGGCCCTCTGATTGGCTAAATCATTCTCAACATGCCACTCCAGGAAGTCACTTTCCATTAGTCAGAACTGGCATGGGAAATGTAGCCAACTTTCCACCCCGGCATCAGATGAGTGCTTTCAGAGTCAAAGCCCAGTTTCACGCCAAAGTGTGAGTGATTAACATTCAACTGCTTTCTCGAGCAGATGTGAGTTGGAGAAGGAAAACTAGGGTCGGACTATTCCAAAGGCCACTTGGACGTTTGTTCTGAAGCCTCCAAGGCCTGTCTGATTCCATTCTGGCCCCTCACCCCGCACAGACATCTGGAAGGCTGAGAGCCCAGAAGCCTCACCCAGAGGCAATTTCTTGGTCTCAGCCCTCCCCAAAGGCAGGGAGCTTCAAGCCACCTGCTCCCCTCCCCCATTCCATCTGCAGCTCAGGTGCAAGGGAGCAGGGGTTGATCACTCACTTCCTGCATGTAGCAACCAGCGAGCGTTGGAACAGGTTCCTGAGCTGGGAGGCAGGTGTCCTCTAGCTGGAGGGAGGTGGCAGTCACAGCCAGGGAGGGACTCTGAGTATGAGAAAACACGCGTCTGAGCAGCTCGTGTGTGTGTGTGTGTGTGTGTGTGTGTGTATGCGCAAGAGAGAGGAATCTCAGAGGCCGGGTGCCCTCCATCCCCATGAGCTGATGGCCTTGTGTTGGGTGACAGTCTGGGGATCCTCTGAACAGGAAAGAGTATGTCTGTCTGTGAATAGGTCTGTCCAGAGAAGCGGATGTGTGTAGTTCAATAGCCTCTAACATCAGGGCCCTGGGAGCCTAGGCCATTTTCTTTCCTTTAAAATAAAAGATTTTATTTATTTGTTTTTAGAGAGAGGGGAAGGGAGGGAGAAAGAGAGGGAGAGAAACATCAGTGTGTGGTTGCCTCTCACGTTCCCCCTACTGGGGACCCGGCCCACAACCCAGGCGTGTGCCCTGACTGGGAATTGAACTGGCAACCCTTTGGTTCTCAGGCCGGCACTCAATCCACTGAGCCCCAGCAGCCAGGGCTGGGGCATTTTCAACGAGCAGAACGAAGGAAGCAGTTCTCGTAGGGCTGTAGTGATCTGGGCACCATGTGCCCCGTTTCTCAGGCAGCTGCCACTCAGCTTCCCCAAGGCGGGGGGGTACAGGCCCATTTACAATCAGATTTTCCAATTTTTCAGCCATAAACGAGCAAATTTATATGACAGCTCCTGATTTATACATACTGGAAACAAATTCATAGTTTTACAAAAATACTGTTTGGATTAAAAATATCTTGGATCAGAGCCCTGGGCCTTCAGAGTGTGAGCTCTGGCAGAATGCTGGAAGGTTCTGGAATTAGCCTGCCCAGGTCGAGTCCCGGAGCCACCACTCACCAGCTTATGAGTCTGGAGAGGAGCCTCAAGTTCTCCACCCGTAAAATAAGGGTAATCAGAGCACCCGCCTCTGTGAGCTGTTGTAAATGTGAAATGAGGAAAGGCATGCAAAGCCCTTAGCACGTGCGTGGCATGCAGTGGACACTCGGTCAGCATTGGCCAATGGAGGAGCACCAGTGTTTGCAGAGCTGTGTATGTGACTGGTGGGGCTGGGGTCGGATGTGGAGAAAACTGCTTTGTGTGTGCTGAGGGACCCCTGTCCTGTCTCTGTGTTCACCACCTCGTCTCATCTGGTCTTGGGCCCAGGTTCCCAGCAATATCCCTTTGACAACGACAGACCTGGCAGCTTTGGCCCCTGAGGTGAGTGACCCTTCTCATGAGCTTTGATCACTGTGGCTCTCTCCTGAGGAGTCTGAATGGACTCCAGAATCTTTCTCAATATGGTTGTCCAGAGAGCTGCAATTGAATGTTGAATCTAAATTCACACTAAATTGTGAATGGCTAATGTTGTATCCTTTCCTGACAGCAGAGTGGAAAGGACCAGGTTTTAACTGCCCCAGAAGTCAATTGGGCATTTGTCCTATGGCTGTTCCTTTTCTTTCAAGAAGAGGACAGTGGAGTCTTCCAGCTTACTAGTCCACTCCCTCCAACTGCCTTACTTCATTTTAGTCTTGATTTCGTCTGTCCCAAGAGAGAAGGCTCCCAGCACTGGCCTTGGGAAGAAAAGAGAAAGGAGAAGATTCAGGGATGTTTGACTAGTGGACATCAGTATAAGACTGCAGGGCCTGGCTTCAGCTTTCCTATTCGTTCAACCAGGGCTGGACCAGATACTTTCCACCTGTGAGAATCTCAATTCATACTGAAGTTGAAATGACTACCACAATGTCCTTCCGTAATAGCAGATTCTGACAGAGATTGGAAAGAGGTGTACAAGATCTGAGTTTCTACCAGAGAGGATGGAGAGGGAAGCTGAATTTGGGGACATGGAAAAACTCTGTGAATCCTTGAAGTGGTGATTCAGTCAGCCTTAGTGGGCATGGTTGGGGCCTCTGCTTCTTGGAGTCCCTGGCTAAAGGGCCCAGGAGTCTTGGGGATGAGATTGAAGCTAGACATTCAGAAGCACCTCCTGGGGGCAGGAGTCATAAATGGTGGAGAGGGACTTGGGGAAGGCACAGGTGGCAGGAGCAGGGACCCATGGATGCAGCAAGCCGGGCCGTGTGCCTCCAGCTGTGGGAGCCCAGGCCCGTCCCTGGAGGCTGAAGCCTTGGTTTTCCAGTTGTGGGCCTTGCAGTGTCAGAGCCCCGTAGCCCTGGCTCTAAGTCGGGCTCCGTGGCTTTAGAATCTGAGGACACCTGAGGGTGGAACCGCTGGTTCCCTGTCTGTCTGATCCTGCAACTCTGGGAGTCTGGGTTTGAGGAACTGGTCCCCAGATTCCGGCATTCGAGTGACTCCAAGCCTCTGTGACTCTGGCTTCCAGAGACTCAGAATTGATTATGAGACTCAGAATTTCCTGATTGTGTGATTCAGTCAGTCAGTCAACTGATACGCACGGAGCACCTACCACATACCAGGCTCCATGCCAGGTGCTGGGCATCCAGAAGGGGCCAAGGTGAAAAACAGACAAAGTCTCTGGGTTCCAGGAGCCGTTGTCCTGAGGAGGGTGATAGACACAGAACAAATAAATCAGTAGAAGAGACACAGTATTAGAAGGGGGAAGAGAACAGAATGGCGAAAGCAGATCAGGAGGGCAGGGATGGTGCTCCCGCACAGGGCACTCTGCAGCGTCTCACTGAGGAGGCGACATTGGATCGGAAGGCTGAAGGGGGTGAGGGCAGGGAGGCAGGTATCAGGGGAAGGCATTTCCGGGCAGTATGAACAACAAGTGCAAAGGCCCGGAGGTGGGCGTGTGCTTGGCAGGTCAGCGCAACGGGGAAGTAGCTGGTGAGTCTGGAGGGGAGAGAATAAGGGACTGGCAGTGGAGGTGAGAGGGAGAGGAGACAATGGCTGGATCAGGTGGGGCCCGAGGGCCTCAGGGGCATTTGGAGTCCAAGTGAGACACGAGTCTGATTCGGTTCTTCGGTGGGTGGGTGGTGTCTCCCCGCACCTGACGACTGTCCGCCTCGTGGAGGATGAGACCAAACCCGTCTGGTTCAGGCTGTAGCTCAGCACCCAGCGTGGCGCCCGCAGTGTTCGTTGGCTCTCTGATGGGTTCTGACGGTGGGGTATCTGCGCTGCCCTCATGCCCCGTTCTGCTCTGCCTCCCTCCAGGCCCTGGGGGGGTTGGCCCCAGGCCAGCAGCTCCTGCTCTCGTTTTGGGTAAAGAAAGCACCCACGGTCACGCTCCAGAACAAGAAGGCCACAGTCTCCATCCCAGCCGACATCCACGTGCTGTCCTACCTCCCTGCAGGCACTCCTGAAGCCCTGTTAGAGCTGACCGGGGTGAGTGGCTGGGGACAGGAGCCCGGCCCTGGGGCTCTGAGCAGGGCTGACCCTTCCCAGGCCGCTAGGGGGTTGCCTCCCTGCCCAATGTCCGGGTGGCATGGCACAGGAAGTCCCTTTCCTTTATTGGCATCATCTGAGCTGAAACCCGAGTGCCCACTTACTCCTTCCTTGCTGCAATCTGACCAGGCCCAGGCCTGTCCAGTCTGCCTTGTCAGGATTTCAGGAATGACTCCCCGTAGCTCCAGGCTCTCTGTGCTCAGGTATCTCCTGGATGACCCTCCAACTTCCTCCTGCCCGCCCTCTCCAGTCTGCTCCTCTGTACCCCACCCCCACTAGTTTTCCTAAGCACACATCTGGGCAGAGGCAGACCCCTCCCCTGCCCACTCTCTGCCCCGGCTCCACGTGGCCTAGCCCCATTCAATGCCCCCACCCCCACCGGCTCATCCTCTGCCTTTCCTGGTGCCCTAAACCTCAGTTACTCAGGGCTACCCCACCCCAACTTCCTACCTTTGCTTATGGAGAGTCCACCACCTGCAGCACTGTCTCCCCCTTTCCCTTGCCTAACTCCTCATCTTTCAAGATTCAGCTTCTGTGTCACCTCATTGGGCACCCTCCCTCAACCCACTCGAGGCTGGATTGAGGGTCTCCCCAGGCTTCTGCAACCCCAAAGCTCCCCCTTATACAACACAGATCACCCTCAGTTTTAATACTCTGGTTCTTGAACACCAGAACCTTCACGTTACCTCCTCATAGTGCAGCACGGGCCCTAACACACAGTAGGGCCTCAGTAAGAGTTATTGGGAGGAATGGATGGTGGAGATTTGGCCACAGTAGACCTGTCTTCAAGCTCCTCCTGAATTCTGAGTAACCAACCTCTGCCTGCTTTTCCCTCGCAGGTTATGACTTTCAATGCCCAGCTGGCCCCTTCGGCTACCAAGCTGCACCTCTCCCTGTCCCTGGAACGGTAACATGGGGACCTGGGCCTTGTCTTTAGGAACAAGAACTAGGGATCAGCAGGAACTTCCTTCCATTTACTGGGCACCAACTAAGTTGCAGGCGTTTCACCAGCATCTTCTCTGCCCCCAGGACCTGCCGGGGAGGGGCTAGTGTTAGCCTGTGGTACAGATGAGGCAACTGTGGCTCAGAGAACCTGGTCCAGGGCGGGCTCCCTCCACAGCACCTGCTTAACACCTGGCCCTGGGGCCACACTACTGCCCGGATGTGGAGTCCAAACTCCTGAGTTATCAGCCCCTGAGATAACTGCTTGCATGTTGTGAAATGCTTTGTTATTCAGGTGGACTCGTTATTTCTCTAATCTCTCCACCCCTGTGGGAACTAGGCCTGGTGGTTATCCTTACCACCTAGAGGGAGATGTTGTTGACAGTCCTGCCTTCCATAGGAATGGCTCTTCAGCCTTTGTAAAGCCTGGGCTGGCACAGTGGGCTGTCCCTGGAGGCCGGTCTGCCATCCGGGCCTCCACTCTCCCAGCTCAGTGCCTGTCGGTCCCTCCCCTGGATTCTGAGGCTTCCCCTCAGGTCTCTGAGATCTGCCCATCCTGAGCCATAGGCACCCAGTGCTCCCCTGACCCCACTTCAGCACCCTCTGCAGGCCCCTCAGGCTACTTGCAATTGTCTCCTGCAAGGCTCCACTGCTGCCCCCTTTCGAAGCTTTCCTACTGCCCGAGTTCGTCTCCCCTTCCTGGTGGCAGTTCCTGTCTCTGCCCTTCAGGAGGTGGAGATCGGAGTCCAGGCTCTGGCTCTGGACTTGCATTTGGGCCTGCTGCGATCCGCTAGTGGGTTGCTGCCTTTAGGGCACACCTGCTGGATACAGAACACCCTGCGTCCAGGGCTCAGTCTGTGGAGGGCCCCTCCTTAGGGAGGCTCACCCACTGCCCTGAGTCCAACAACTGGGAGTCAGACTTAGGCTTCAGGGCCATGGAGTCGGTGGGGGTGGTCATGATATCTCGGAAGGAGGTTCGATCCCTCCAGGTCCATTTTACAGGTACGAAAACCGAGCCTCTGAGTCAAGGCTGGAGAGGGAGAACACTGGGTCTGCAACCCTATTTCCTGACCCTGGAGAGCTAGGGGTGGGGCAGGCTGGGAGGGGCAGGTCCGAGCACTGCTCAGCAGGTGGGGGTGGGGGTGGGGGCTGGGGTCCCCAACACCTTTCTTCTCTTCACCAGGCTCAGTGTCAAGCTGGCCTCTTCTTCTGCCCACCCGTTCGATGTAAGTTCCTGGGAGGGGGAGCAGTTCAGCAGTGGTGAGGGTCTTCTCAGGACTGGAAGCGAGGTGGGATGAGTCACGGGTCATATGACAGAGCAGGCCTCAGTCTGGGCACTGCCCCAGCAAGCCCGGGTGGACGAACACCAGGGCAGGGGTGCGCGTGTGTGCGTGCATGTGAAACAGTCATCATCTCAGGAAGTGAATCCGAATCTCATGATCTGTCGGAGTCTTAGAACCACACACAGTGGTAAACACCTAGAATCTCACAAAGGCTCAAATTTCTGCAACTTCACACAGGTAATAAGGCCCCTGCACTCTCTCCTATTAGAAATAGAAATCTCTCCTATTTCAGGGCCACACAGAGCCCATAGGTCCCTGCTTCTCACAGAGCTCTGTGGTCTGGAACCTCACCGTAACTCAGGTTCTAGAACATTCTAAGGGCTCCTACATTGGTAGGAATCTAGGATCAGACAGCTCAGAGTTCCACTGGAGCGGGCTGCATTTTCCTCCCTCTTTCTCAGGCATAGGCCCCACAGACCCTCCCTCTGGGGAGGCAGCCCTTCCCAGCTCCCGGGCCCAGGGAAGCTGTCCTAAAATCACAGAGTCCCCTTTGGGGTCACTGGCAGATGTCCCACCCCAGGGGGCCCTGTGCCCCCCAGGGCCTGTGTCCTCCAGCTTGGGGGAGGCTGGGCAGCTGGACCCTGGATCTCCCTCCCTGGGGAGGGGGCACTGCTCCCCAGGAAGCCACACCCCCGCTCCCCCTGTGCTCTGTTGCAGACGTCCCGTTTAGAAGAATGGCTCAGTGACGTAGTCCGGGCGGCGTATGTGCCGAAGCTCAACGGTACAGTGGCCTTCGATGTCTTTTTGGACACGTGGGGTGTCTGACTTGGGGCTGTCAAATCTGTTGCCTCTTTCCTTGTTGCGACAGACACGGAGGCTGGAGAGGGGTTGCACTCCATTTCTAAGATGCAGAAATTGAGGCACCAATGTTTGCCTTTGAACCACACGGACTAGCTTCTCCATCATGCCCACCTCAGGCCCCAAGCCCTCTCTGACCTGGCTCCTGTCCTCAGGCTTGCAACCCAGAGGGAAGCAGTCCTATAAACAAGGGATTAGAATGCACAGCCCAGAGTGTGCCAGGGCCGGACAGAGCCTCGAGGAGGCTCTGCTGAGGGGAGCCACCGGTGACAGTACAGAGAAGGGGCATTTTCGTCTGCCTGTAGTAGGATGAGCAGGATCTGCCAATAAGGGAAACTGAGTCCCCAAGAAGAGAAATGGCTGGCTCAAGGCAAGTGGTAGCTTAGGGTCAGCAGGTCCCATCCAGCACCCTGCGTATCACTGCTCCCACCCATTCCCTCTTCACAGTGGGCCTGGATGTTGGCATCCCCCTGCCTAAGGTTCTCAATGTCAACTTTGCCAACGCAGTCCTGGACATCATAGAGGTGAGTTTCCCGTGCAGGTGTGGCCTTGATGGGCCTAACGCTTGTCTCTGGAGAGCCCTGCTTGCAGCTCGTGAGGGGAGTGCTCTGCCTCGTCATCCGGTCTGCCCCTGCACCGTTCTCTAAGTTGCTCAGGGAATTACAAATGACTGAATGTGGAAATGGCAGATAGATGACGTATGTTCTATACCACTCCTTCCTTACTGGGCCAGGGCAGACATTGCTAATCAATCACAGAGTGATGAATTCAGTGATCACTTTCCTGATGAATTCAGACCCATGTCTGGCCTACAGAGTGGAGTCTCAGATTCATGCAGAGAATTGCAGTTCTCCCGGTCCAGGGGTGGCAAAAAAAAAGGGGGGGGGGGAGGGACATCTGTCCCTCCTTATCCTGTGACTGTGACAGGATAAATGCTAATAGATGTCAACACTTTATTTTGTTGAATATCAATGTGGCCTCACAATCCTTTTCAATCCAGCACAACTTTGAGTTTTGGAACAGTTCTGGGAGGTAAACAGAGCAGAGTGCTCTGTACCCATTTCTCAGATGCAGACCAAGGCTGAAGGAGGTCAAATTTCAGATCCAAGGTCAACACAGTAAATTAGCAAGATAAATGGCACTTGAACTTGGGTCTCTTAAGTCCTAAGGTCAGTAAGTCTTTCCCACACTGGATGTCATTTATTCGTCATTCATTTATTCGTTCATTCATTCACTTGGTATGCTTGCTGTATTCCAGGTAGAGTCCTGACCCCAGGGCATGGGGCGCGGGCACAGAGACGGGTGCAGGAATGGGGGCCTGGCAGATGTGTTGGGCACAAGGACTCAGAGAGCCTAACCCAGAGCTGTTGCTCCTTGCAGAACGCCGTTGTGCTGACTGTGGCATCCTGAGGCCGAGAGATGGCTGCTGCCCCTCCCTGTTGACCACCAGCGTCCTGTCCATCTGCCTACTCCGCCTCAATTTCCCTCCTAGCCTCTAGCCTGTGTTGGTGACAGTACAAGTGCCCCTTTTCCACCCAGGCCCACTCAGGCGCTCTGGCCCTGCAGCTCTGCCCCAGCCTGGGTGGGGAAGGCAGGGCAGCCACAGGACTCTGCTTCAGAGAGAGCTCTGGGGCCTCAGTGGCCAGTGCAGAGCTTTCAATAAACTTCTCCTCTGTGTCAGCATCTCCTGCCTAGTCTGTTCTCAGTCACACAGGGGCCACCTTGGCCTCTGCCTCTGGTGCCCCCCTCCCGCTCTGGGCAGGGGCTCCTGGAAGGTGAGGGGACTTGGGGCCTAGTCACTGTAGCTTTGTGTCCCAAGCTTACCGGGCTGGCCTGCCCCCCTTCCCCTCTGCCTCCAGCTCCCTGTGTCCCCCTCCCCTTCTCTCCGCTCTCTTTCTCTCTGACTTGGGGACATTTCTCAGAAGTGACATCTGCACTGAGTTTTGAAAGACAAATAGGAGTTTCCCAGAGAGAAAAGGAGCCAGCAGTCCAGGCAGCAAGGATGAGTGGAGGAATTCCTGCCCTGGAGGAATCCCCACTGGCTGCACACCAGCCATGGACGCACTCAGGAGAGACCAGAGCTCAGCTGTGCCGATTGCTCATTGTGCAGAGGGGGAAATTGCTGTCAGAGAGGGGGCCTGGTTGACCCGTAGCTGCACAGGGACGGAGTTGGGGTGGGGCCCAGCCAATCCCTCCTGAGCGTGGAGAAAGCAGAGTTATCCCTGAGCCTCAGGCTCCTCATCTGTAAAATGGGAACACTGCAGGACTCTCTCATGGGTGGTTTGAGGATTAAATGAGGCCATTGTAAGTACTAAGAAGAGTCCCTGGCACGTGGTAAATGTCCCTGATGGGTAGTCAGGCCTTCCCATGGCCCTTCCCTCTTCCTGGAGCATCCCTGTGCCCAGGTGTGTCAGGAAAACTCTTATTACCCCTCAACACACAGGGCACCTGCAGCTTCCAGCTCCCCTGGGCCCCAGGCAGGGCCTGCTTTGTATTTGCCACACTGGGCTGCCACTGCCCCTGGTCCCATTCTCCCCCTGACCAAGGTCAGGGACAGTACCTGCTTCACTGTGGTGAGGCATGTGGGTGCACGGAGTCGTGAGGGGAGCAGCTGACCTCCACCGAGTCCGTGTTGTATACCGGACACCCTTTTGGACAACTGCTAAGTGGTAGAGCCAGGATTCGAACCACATCTTCTGACATTGACTCCAAAGCCTGAGCTCTTCACTGCCATGCTATAAAAGTAATACTCGCTATATGGATTGTATGCTTATTAAGTGCCAGACGCTGTTCTAAGTGCTTTAGATATATCATGTGACTGACTCCTTGAATCAACCCTTCTTTCTAGGACCTATCTTTACCTTCCTTCTACAGTTGAGGACATCGAGGCACAGAGAAGTTAAGTGACTTGCCCAAGGCCACACAGTTAGGAAGGTTAGGATTTGAACCCAAGCCCCTGAGTCCAAGGCCCAGACTCTGAACCATCGCACTCAGGGAGGTGGGGGGATGAAACGAGAGGCGCAGGGAGCCCCTCTGCGAGCTTGCAGCCCTGAAGGCCGCCAGTCACGAGGGAGAGAGGGGCTGAATGGACCGATTCTGTTTCCCAGTCCCTGCAGCTCCTGTGTGAATCCTCCCCCCTAACCCCCCAACCCCCACCCCCGCCCACCAAAGTGACCCTCTGTGTGGCTGAGTCACCTCTGAGTGAGTCACCTCCCAGGGTCTGGTCCCTCCAGCTGCAGACAAAGGTGCCTTTGGGACAGTAAGCCCAGGTGATCTCCTTGAGGCGCCAGAATTGCACTAATCCTCTTGGGGCCCCAGGGGGTAGACCCACCTTGTGGCCATCAGGGCCTGGCTGGCCCAGGACTGAGGATAGGCACAGAGCCTCGGTGACGGACAATAACCACTTTTGTGTGCGCACTGCCCTCTACAGTTTACAATGAGCATTGCTCCCTGCTGGAAGCGGGTGGAGGAGGCACATTGTCCTCTTTGCATCGTATTTCAATTGAAAAAGTTAACATATTTGTTAGCAAGCACTTATATCAGACTAAGTGTGAGGTGATGGGGAGCTGAAAGGGAGCTGCTCTTTACTGAGCCTCCACGAGCCTCCAGGAACATTCTGGAAGATTCCTACGTAATCCTCGAAAACCACAGTGGAAAAGTGCAATTATGCCTGCTTCTCAGATGACCGGACTGAGGTCCTGGAGGAGAAGTGACCATCTGGGTCACACAGGGCATTTGGGAGGTGGAAACTCAGGTTTGGGGTTCCTGTCCCTGGGGCCCTTCCAGCCCCCACAGATGGTGGGGCATGAGGTGGTCCAGGGTCCGGACTGAGGTGCCTCCTCACACCCCTCATCATTTTCGCAGACTTGCTGCCACAAGCAGCCAGCAGGGCCCAGAGGAGATAAGGACAAAATGCTGAGTGCCTACAGGCTGCCAGGCCCCAGCCTCAGCACTTTGCTTGGTGAAGTCACTCGCCTCTCACAACATTCTTTTGAGGCCAGGTGTTCTAGTCACTATCTTGAAACCAAACAAGCAGAAGCTTGGAGAGAACTAGCAGCAGAGCTCAAGCCCAGAACCCAGCTCCAGAGCCAGTTTCATTTGTTAGTGTGTCCACGGCAGATGGGGAAACCGAGTTCCAGCGAGGGGTGGCCCAGGGGCCAAGGGGGCCATCGGCAAACTTGCCGTCCACTGTGCCTGTCATCAGAGCCCCGCTGCCTCCAGGAGAGCAGGAGGAAGGGCCTCTTTCCAGAGTTCAGGGAATCACATTTATTCCCACTCTGACTTAAACAGGTCTTGTAGGGAGAGAGAAAGACCCCATCACTGCAGAGGAGTTTTCAGGCGGACCTAGTGGGGACAGGGAGGCAGTGACGTCAATTAAACACACAGGTAGGAACGAGGCAGGGCTGGGGGATGAGAAAGAAGGGGGACTCAGAGAGCTCCTTGTCCAGTGGAGTGAGAGCATTCATTCATTCATTCATTCACGACACTGGCATCTGTGCCTGGGCTGTGCTGGGAGGGGGCCCAGGCCTGCTTTGTTTGGTCTGCCCCATGCAACACTATCTCAGCATGGGCTGCAGAGGACCTTGAGCAGGCAGAGAAAGGGTCGAGGTTGGGGGTCATCACAGAAAGCTTTTCAGAGCAGCTGACATTTCTGCATGAGTTTGACCAGCAGAGTCTGGAGAAGGGTCTTCTAGATCGCAGGGACTGCACGTGCAAAGGCCCAGATGCAGGAGGCCGGGGCAGAGGCAGGACTGAGTGTGGAAGGAGGACTCACCTTGGATGCCAGGGAAGAGGTCTGGGCTGGGTCCCAGCAGTCTTAGAGGGGGCAGTGGCTGCCTCTGCGGGGTGGGAGCAGGTGTTGACTGGGAAGGGACAGGAGGGAACCTTCTGGGGTGAGGGAGATGTTCTCTACTGAGATAGGGGTGTGGGCTACATGGCTATATAAAATTGTCAAAACTCAGCAAATAAACATTTATGAAGTACTGTATGTAAAGTTTACATTTAAAGAAAAGGATCACAATGGCATGCTTGTCAAAGTGTTTAGAGAGACACGTACTGTTGTCTGCAACTTACTCTGAATGCACACAGAGACGGACTCACGAACACATGTGTAGATGTGTGGTGAGGGAAGGGAAACACTACTTCAATGGTAGAAGGAGCTGGTGGGTGGACGGTGACATGCGTGTGGTGTGCACTGTACAATCACTCAGCTTCGCTGTACAGGTGGACATTTCATCATGGATTATTGGGAGAAACCCTGCAGGTTGGATAAAGCCAAACAGCTTGTTTTCTTCATGCCAGCCCCAAATTTGAAGAGTCAGATCCATATACAGAACATCTCCCGGAGTTCTCAAATCAGTCCTGTGAGGCAAGTATTATGCCCATTTAACAGATGGAAATAACAAGAGGGACAGGGAAGGGAAGTGGCAGGCTCAGAGGCATGTAGTGAGTTGGGGGCTGAGCAGTCCGTGAACCTGGGTCAGCTGGCGCTGAGGTCAGCCTGGGCATGTCCTGCCTGCACAGGCCATCTGGAGTGGGCAGTGCCCACCTCAGAGCTGGAAATTAGACAGACGCATGTGGGGGTGTTTCCAATTCACCTGTCTGGGAGCCCAGCTGGGGCCTCCAGGAACGTGCCTAGACCAGGGGCTGATAAACCCCAGCTCATGTGGCACCATCCGGGGCTGAACACACAGCTCTCGGAATTAGCCGCAAACCGCAAACCCTTGTGGTTTTGGGGCTCAATGCCCAATTTGCAGAGCAAATCTGAATTCTGGTCACTCATAATTACACGGTGTTTCCCTCTCTGGGTTTGGACTCAGACTCCAGCTAGTATATAAAGGACCTGTGACTAGACTCAGCAGATGGCCCAGTGAATGAGACCTCTCAAGACTGACCTGCAGGGACTGCCCAGGGGTAAGGAGGGGCCCCTTCTCTCTTCAGTGTCTGGGCTGACTGGGAGCGGCTGAGGTCTGGTGCTTGCTGATGCCCCAAACCCCTTCATTAAAAGCCCATCTTTTTAAGTGAAGGTGGTAATGGAAAAAAAATTCTTACACATATCAGTCCTTCATATGCTAGTATAAATGAGTGCCTCCGATACCCTCCTGGGAGCAGATGGGAGCGGGGAAAAACACTTGGGGGCAGGGAAGAGGATGCATAAGTGTAGGGGACTGAAGCCAGCAATTTCAGGGTGGCCCCGATGGGAGGTGGCGACTCCCTGAGGCTGGTGAAGGGTCAGACTGGGGTGACAGAGGAGAGAAGTGGGCAGTGGCACGAAAACAGCAAAACAAAGTTTCCCAGTGGCTGACCAGCTCCTCCCAGCATGCAGCTTCAGCCATGCAGTCTCGGCCCCTGATCTCATAACTTAAGACCCACTTCTTAGCTGTCCTGAAACAATAACAATCAGGACATGATGTTGATTATTGAGTATCTATCATATGCCTGATACAATATGTTATGATTAGGAAGCAGAGATTCAAAAAGGTGAAGTCTCTTGACTAAGGATTACAGCCACATAGCTCTGATCCAGAGCCCTTTACCTTAACCAAATGGTGTAGAACTGTCTCCTGAGAAGAGGCAGAAGAGGGTGCTGGCTGGCTGGCTGGCTGGCTGGAAGCGTGGAGGGGGGCTATGTGAATGTGTTGGTAAGTGAATGGACTGATGGAAGAATGAATGGAAGGGTGGAATGAAGGATGGATGGGTAAATATATGACTGGCTTGTTGGCTGGCTGGATCATGGGTGGATGGAAGGAAAGAGGGATAAAGAGGGGGGAGATGGGAGGTTGAGTGAGTAGATGGATGAGTGGGTGAATGGATGGGTAGGTGGAAGGATGGATGGGTGGGTGGAAGGATGGATGGGTGGGTGGAAGGTTGGATGGGTGGGTGGAAGGTTGGATGGGTGGGTGAATGAATGGATGGGTGGGTGGAAGGATGGGTAGGTGGGTGAATGAATGGATGGGTGGGTGGAAGGTTGGATGGGTGGGTGGAAGGTTGGATAGGTGAGTGAATGAATGGATGGATGGGTGGGTGGGTGGAAGGTTAGATGGGTGGGTAGGTGGAAGGATGGATGGGTGGGTGAATGAATGGATGGGTGGGTGAAAGGATGGGTGGGTGGGTGAACAAAGGAATAGATGCTGGAGAGATTTCCCCAGAGCTACCTGTTTTGCTGTTTTGGTTAAAAACCCCATGACTTCTCTCCCTGAGGTGAAAAATTTCTTCTTGGGAGATAATCAAACATCCATGTTCTGGGACAGTTTAGTTAATTGGTTTGCTTTGTATCTCCAGACTAATTTCGGTTTGAAAATCTCAGAAGGTGGCATCAGAAATTCTGGACTCTGCCCCACTGTGTGACCTGAGGTCCTTTTTCCCAGTCTCTGGGCCTCAGGGTCCTGGTGTGCTTCTTGGAAGGAGGTGCATAGCTCCCCCTGCTGGCCAGGGTAGTGATGGCCAGCTAAGGCCATCTGATGCATTGCCCCCTCAGCAGGAAAGCAGCGCCAGCATGTGGACGGCTTGGTGTGTGGCTGCTCTGTCTGTGACAGCTGTGTGTGGCATCAGCCCAGAGACAAACACTGTCCTCAGGGTTACCAAGGATGTGCTGAGCAATGGTGAGTGCAGCCCTGCAGGGGGTAGGGGTGGCACTGGGCCGGCAGGGCAGTCCCACCATCTCTGACGTCCCCAAGGACCCCCTTCCTAACTGGCAGCGTCTATAACAGGTGGATGGGTGGCCTTAGTTTCCCCTTTTCCTTTTGGCTATCATTTCCTGAGTGCCTACTATGTGCCAAACACCATGTTGGGAACCTTACACATGAGGCACTAGAGTAGTGATTAAGTGCTTGGGTCCTGGAGTCAGTCCTCCTAGGGTTCAAATACTGACTGTGTGACCTTGAGTCTGTGACTTGAGTTCTCTGAGCCTCAGTTTTCTCATCTGCAAAGTGGCTGTAATTAAAGTCCTCATCTCAGAGGACAAATATGAAAATTAAGCAGGTTGGCCTTTTGGAAACTTAGCCCAACTCCCAGTGAATGGATAGCTCTCAAAAGTGAGAACTACGATTATTCCTGTCTCGAATCTCCCTGTCCCTGTTCCCATCTGAGGCTATTGTGAGAATAGAAAGTGAGATAGTTTCCTGTCTGAGTGCCACAGGCCTCAACTTCTTTACCCATCAAATGGGGACAATAATTCTGGCCTTGACTGTTTCCCTGGACTCAGTTGGGATAATGCATGAGAAAGGAGGGCTTTTTTCAGCTGTACACTGTGGAACACTTGCAAGGGTGGGTGGGGAGGAGAATTTATACAGGTTTGGCTGAACGCTGTTGAAATCCAGTTATAGTGGGAGCAGGTCAAAGCCAGCAGCTAATGCGCTCACCAGGATGTCAGGGCTGGAGTGGCCTGGAGGAGTCTTCCCATGCGACCTCGGCACTACCTGTGGGGACAGTGGGGCCCGGAGAACCCACCAGTGCTCCAAGGTGGTGCCTGGGGGCTGGAGGTGGAAGAAAGGGAGGGACCCCTGACCGACACCTGTGCTTCTCTGCAGCCATCTCCGGCACCCTGAAGCAGAGCGATGCCCTCCACTCGGCTCTGAGAGAGGTGCCCATGGGTAAAGCTGGTAGTGATGGTGGTGGGCCTCTTCTGGGGGGTCTGCTCGGTGGAGGTGGTGGGGGAGGTGGCCTTCTGGGGGGCCTGCTTGGTGGTGGGGGTGGAGGGGGTGGTGGTGACCTATTGGGTGGAGGTGGAGGAGGCTTATTGGGTGGCGGTGGTAGCAGTGGTGGGGGGCTGTTGGGTGGCAGTGGTGGAGGGTTGCTGGGTGGTGGTAGTGGTGGTGGGGGGCTGTTGGGTGGCAGTGGTGGAGGGTTGCTGGGTGGTGGTAGCAGTGGTGGTGGGCTGTTGGGTGGTGGTAGCAGTGGTGGGGGGCTGTTGGGTGGCAGTGGTGGAGGGCTGCTGGGTGGTGGTAGCAGTGGTGGTGGGCTGTTGGGTGGTGGTAGCAGTGGTGGTGGGCTGTTGGGTGGTGGTAGTGGTGGTGGGCTGTTGGGTGGTGGTAGTGGTGGTGGGGGGCTGTTGGGTGGCAGTGGTGGGGGGCTGTTGGGTGGCAGTGGTGGTGGTCTCTTGGGTGGTGGTCTTTTGGGTGGTGGCCGACACCATTACAATGACTACAGAAGCGTTGAATTCCCCCGAGGTGTTGGCGGTGTTCCTTACAACGATTTCCATGTCCGAGATGCCCCCCCCAAATATACTAATGGCAAACAGCTTGGCGGTAATTACAAGTATGGTCACATCGAAACCAATGACAACACTGCTCAGCTGGGGGGCAAATACCGGTACGGTGAAATCCTTGAGTCGGATGGAAGCATCAGGGATCTCCGCCATGGCGACTACCGCAGTGCTGCGAGTGCACCTGGTGGCCAAAGGGGCTTTCCGCAATATAAGTCAGCTAAAGGTGCAGCAACCGTGGGCAGGCTTCACCGGCGAGAGCTGCGGCCAGGAGAGATCCCACCTGGTGTAGCCACTGGGGCCCTGGGCCCAGGTGGTTTGCTGGGCGCTGGTGGCATGCTGGCAAGCGATGGCATCCTGGCAGGACAAGGTGGGCTGCTTGGCGGAGGTGGTCTCCTTGGTGATGGAGGACTTCTCGGAGGAGGAGGCGTCTTGGGTGTGCTTGGCGAGGGCGGCATCCTGAGCACAGTGCAAGGCATCACAGGGTAAGGAGGGGCCGGGATCACCCTATCAAGCCCCCTATGATGAGTCTCCAAACAGGGGAGATCACCCCCAGGCCTGGAGTTAGAGAAGTGGTGGTCTTCAGAACCTTAGACACTTCAGGCTTGGCCTCGGGACTGGAAGTCCTGAGAGTCTCAAGCTGTATGGTTTTAGGTCTGTCATCTAACAGCCCTGAATTCGAGCCCTGGCTCATTCTTTCCCCCTGGGTCTCATTATCCCCGCCTGCAGAAAGGTCATAGTAATACAGTTTAGGTGGGAAAAGCCCAAGGATTTAAAATCATATGTACTATATATTATAATTTCCACTCTGCCCAGCCTCCTCCTCATATTTAATCAAACAAGCATGAACTCCTTCCATGGCTTGGGCACCATGTTGGCACTGGAGACACGGCCTCACAGTTAGCCGAGAAAAGACGTCTCTCTGGTCCCTGTGGAGCTTGTAGGCTGGGGTGGTGCCTGGGCATTGAGAAAGAAACAGGGAAATAATCACACAATTATCACATGGAGAAATGAGGATGTGTGTTGTGGGGGAGATAGGGGAGGCTTCCTGGAGGAAGAGGACCTTGAGCTGGAAGCTGAGAATGTGTAGGGAGAAACCAGGCAAAGAGGGGCAGGGACACGCCAAAGGAACGGCACCTTTAAATTAAAAACAAAAATCAAAGGAAATACATGGAAATGGAAAGAGTGGGTCTCTGGGCAGTGGGACTACAGGTCATGGCATTTTTTTTGGCTCTTATTCTCTGTGTTTTCAAGTTCTAGCCACAAACCTCAGGTCTCTTCAGAGTCGGGAGGATCTGAGCGGGGCACAGAAAGGGGGTGAGGGAAGGTGCTGTCAGGGGAGTGGCACGGCCAGCAGCGGGGGTGACCCCTCTCTCTCGCATTGCTCTCGGCCCCGTGCAGGCTGCGGATTGTGGAGCTGACCCTCCCTCGGGTGTCTGTCCGGCTCCTGCCCGGCGTGGGTGTCTACCTGAGCCTGTACACTCGCGTGGCCATCAACGGGAAGAGGTGTGTCCCCCCGGCCATGAAGGGAACCCCAGCACCCTATGTCCTGGCTAGGAGATTCTGGGCAGGTCATTTCCCTTCCCTACACTTCAGCCTTTTTGTCCATAATTCAAACGCTAAGGCCTAATCTGTACCAGCAAGTGTGTGGCCTATACCTCTGGGCCCAGGTCACCTGTAGGTCCCCATCAGCAGTGACGGCAGTCTGCTGATGGTTAAGATCTGGGAAACTGCAGTCAGGTGACAGCCTCGGTGCAAATCCTGACTCTCTTTCAAGCTGTGTGACCTTGGGCCAGTCCCCCAACATCACTGGACCTCAGTGTCTTCACCTGCAATGGGCATAACGACATCACCTTTTCCAGGTGGCTGTGGCCACAAGTGAGGGGGGAAGGCAAGCAGATGCCCTCCTGAACGGTGCCTGCCACCTGGCAGGTGCTTATCAGAGGGTGTACTTCTGCACTGATTTCTCTCCATGGATTGGGGTTATGTCTACAAAGTTAGATCACTGGGTCATCACCTTGGAAACCAGAATTTATACACAGAGTTCATTTATGGATCCCTGTTCCTAGCCTTTGGAGCTCCCACAGATGAGGGGATGGGGCATAGATCTCTCCACTGATAACTTGAGAAACCAAGGAAGTCTTCTACTGTGGCACCCCTAGGAGATACGCAAGGGGCATCATATATACATACCAGCTAGGGCAGGGGCAGCCAGGGTGAGAGGGGCCAGGTGGGCCTGGGTGGCACTGAGCTGCCTGGAGGTGGGTTGACTCCCTGTCCCCTTGGCCTCATGGTCTCCTCCAGCCTCATTGGCTTCCTGGACATCGCCGTGGAGGTGAACATTACGGCCAAGGTCCGGCTGACCATGGACCGCACAGGCTACCCCAGGCTGGTCATCGAGCGATGTGACACCCTCCTGGGGGGCATCAAAGTCAGGCTGCTGCGAGGGTGAGTATTGGCGGCGGCGGAGTGCCTTGGGGAGTGGTGGGATGGTCTGTCTTTGCAAACCGCGTGGTTAAGAGCAGGGGTTCTGGAAGCATCCTGCGGTTCAAATCTCAGATCCACTCGCTCTTGCTGTGTGACTTGGAGCAACTCTGTGCCCTCTCTGAGCTCCTGTTTCTTCATCTGTGACATGGGGGTAGTTCTTTTGCCTTTGGAACCGAAATAATGAATATAAAACTCAAGTGCAGAATCTGGCACACTGCAAGTTTCTGAAGACACATCTAAGCAGGGGTGTCCAAACTTTTGGCGTCTCTGGGCCACACTGGAAGAAGAAGAGTTGTCTTGGGCCACACATTAAATATATTGAGAGACGTAATCACACACACACAAAATTTCATCATGTTTTAAGGACCATATTTTTTGGACCATAAGATGCACATAGGTGTTAGAGGAGAAAAATAGGAAAAAAATTTTGAAACAAAAAAATATGGTAAAATATTTAATAACATAAATAACATAGTATTTCACCAATGTAAATGTAAACAGAACTCAACAGCAGCATTAACAACCATTATCTCCCAAATTTGACAGAGGGTGGAGTATGTCTTATAGTCTGAAAAATACAGTAAATTTACGATTTTGTGTTGGGCCGCATTCACAGCCATTGTGGGTGCATGTGGCCCACGGGCTGCAGGTTGGACACCCCTGTGGGGTTTGAGTCCATTAGTGCCCAACTCACCGGGATATTGCCCAGTGGGTGCTGTCCAATGCAACCTTGGCCAGGGGGTGAGGTTTTTGGGGTTTTTTTTCTATCACACCATCCCCACAAAGTGGCCAAGCCCTCCGCTCTGACCAGAGAGGTCCCACGTGTCTGTGTATTGGCCACCACGCGCGCCCCCAGTGGTGGTCTCGGGTGAGGGCACCTCAGGGCGGCTCGGAACTGAGTCCCTTTCTCTTCCCTCCCTGACCCCACGTGGGAGCCCTCTCTGTGGCTTTTCTCTTGGAGGCCGCTGGCCCTCTTCTCCTTCCCCTCTTGTCTTACCAATCTCTCGGCCCAGTCATTCCAGCCCTCCTTTTACCTAAACTTTCAGAGCAGGAGAACTCTTTGTGCAACTTGAACCAAGAATGTCTGATCCACGCGAGCTTCTCTGAGTCTGCGCCAGCGTGGGCGAAGACAGAGGGAGCTGGCCCCCAGTATCCTCTGAGGGACGGCAGGGGAGGGAAACGCACAGAAACCTCCTAGATTTTTAAATTCACATTTTCACTAGGAAATACAGTTGGCAATCCATGATGCGACAGTATGAAAAGACACACAGGCGCAGAGCGAAGAGCCTGCCTGCCGTCCGCCTCCTCCCCACCGAGCTCACCGTCCAGTTCCTATGTACAAACGAAGCAAACACAAACGTAGATTCCCACCCCCGCCTTTTCACACAAATGGGCACAGGCTAGAAACACCGTTTTGCACTTCTCTTTTTTCATCTCCTCAATTCTGAACATGGACAGCTTTCTCGTCTAACTTTCTACAGCTGCATAATATTCCGTCACCTGGACAAGCCACTGTGTACTGGCCCGGGCCCCTGTTGATGGACATTGCGGTTTGTCTAACCCTCTGCTCTGACGAGTGTGGGTACAGCGAGTAGCCTGTAGTGGATATTTCACACGTGGACCAATGGGTCTACCGGACAATTTCCCAGAAGGAGAAAACAGGCTGTGCCCTGCATGCATGTGACTAACCTCAAACCATCCCCCCAACACATGCACACACGGATAAACACGGATGTGCATTCTCATGGGCCTTATCATCCAAGGAAAACTGGAACAAAGGCAAGGCCCCCTGAGGTGTGACTCCATTTAAAAAGGAGAACAAAAGCTTGGGGGAAATGATCTAATCAGGATTTTTATCCCAAGGAAATCTTTGCTTTTTCAAACTGGCACAGCACTGGACAGTCAGTTACACCCTGGGTGGAGGAATGGGCAGGGCCGTGTTCAGTAGGGTCAAGGGGGCTGATTTTTAAGGTGTCGAGTTGTCAGTGATATTTTTTATTAGGATAGTGATGCTTCCCTCTCCTCACCACAGGGCCTGGGAAAGAAGTTACAAGTCTGTCCGTCCGTCCGTCCATCCGTCTAAGTGTTTTGTCTATGCATCCATAATCTGTCTCCCCCTTAACTAACTGGTTAGAGCTGGGTAATGCACTTAGGACTTGGGCTGGGTCCCTTCTCTGGACCTCAGTTTCCTTGTCTGTAGAATGGATCACATCTCCCAGTCTTCTCAGCACCAAGGACTTGTTTCCTCTTGTGGACCACCTGAGCACAGATGACTGGCCAGTATTTCTCCTTCCCTCCCTTCCACAAGCATTTACTGAGCACCTGCTACGCACCAGACACTGTGCTAGGCACTTGGATAAAGTTATACATTCATTTGCTCTTTGAGAAGACTGTGCAAAGTTGCGACAAGCAGTTTATTAGAAGAGGGGCGGATGAGCAGGAGGGAATGACATTTGTGGTTAAAAACCAGGAGCATCCCAGCCTGGGCCTGGTCCATGGTAGAGCTCAAGAAGCATTTGTTTGTTGAATGAGTAAATGAAGGAATGGAGGATGAGTGAATGAATGAATGAATGAATGAATGAATGAAAAGACAATCAGTTTGCCTGAGCAGCCTGTTCCGCTAGGTCCAGGGTGAAGGTGCACTGCCCTTCCAGCTTGCAGAGCAACTTCCCGGCGCTAGCGGGCTCTCACTATTCAGACAGTCCGGGCGTGGACACGCCTGGTGAGCCCCTCCTCGTCCTGCTCCTCTCCCCGCAGGCTTCTCCCCAACCTCGTGGACAACTTAGTGAACCGAGTCCTGGCCAACGTCCTCCCTGACTTGGTAAGAACCTGGCCCGGGACGGGGGGCAAGGAGCACAGACTTCCCCATACCAAGGGGCCACGGTCCAACCTCCATCCCTCTGGGGGAGCCGGTGACCCAGAGGGAGCCAGGGGGCTGGGGCCTGTTCTTGGGATCCCTGGAGGTTCTCGGTGGACCCCGAGGAACATGGAGAGACAGATGAGTGAGAGGATACCAGGAGAATCACACAGTTTTGAGTTCGAGTCCCTGCTGGGCACTTCCAAGCTGTGTGACAAGTCATAGCACTTCTCTGAGTCTCAGTTTCCCCATCTGCAAAATGGGGATCAGGAGAGAGCCTTCCCTGTGCGGCGTGGGGAGAGCAGTACCCGGCACAGGGCGAGTCCGTCAACACCGGCTATCACCGCGGTAACTGGCACGTGCCCTCTGCAGCCCTCTGCGCAGGCACCAGGGCCTCATGCTTCCTCTCCCCACGCAGCTCTGCCCCATCGTGGACGTGGTGCTGGGCCTTGTCAACGACCAGCTGGGTCTTGTGGACTGTAAGTTCTTCCTGCTTTGTTTTATTCGGCTAACCTTTACTAGAGCCCAGCCGCAGCAGGCCTGGGGACAGCAGTGCCTGGGAGAAGGACCCAGGGTGGCGGGGGCGGCAGACCCACCTTCAGGCCCGCAGAGGGCTCAGTGACTGCCGCCTTGAGGGAGAGTCTGCCTGGACTTTCCTTTTGTCCCCAAACACCCCTCCACAGAGTCCCAGGGGGAGGAGGCCCCACCCCGACCCAGGGGGCTGCAGCTCTGGACTAGGAGTCGGGAGGCTGGGTTTGAGCCCTGGCTCTGCCCTGGCAGGTGTGTGGACTTGAAGAGACTTGCCCCCATCAGTCATCTCTGAAATGAGGGGGCAGCCTCACCCCATCGAGGAACTGGAAGGGGAGTAGCAGGAGACACTCAGGAGACAGTGCAGGGGCTCAGAACCAGGCCCCAGTGGGATTCCCGGGTGAACGTGGCTGCAGGCCAGCCCGCCCCACACAGCTGCACAGTCTGTACGGCCACAATTCCAGGGACCGCCTCTCACGTAGATGGCACCCTAGCAGGGGCACCCGAGTTGTACGGGGCACAGCCGCTGCAGCTAGGCAGGGCAGCCACTCTGACTGTGCCCGTTTCTCAGGGGGCCAGGCAGTTCGAGCATGGCCTTCCCAAGCAGGTGAAACTCCCTCCCTCTGTGGCCAGAAACAAGGGCGGGCGAGTCCAGGGAGCAGGGCTATTCGCCACCAGCAGTCAGAAAAATGCCAGATCCGATGAAGCACCACGTTGTAGAAACCATAAAGCTTCTGGTTCAGTGCACAGGACTCGACAACTTCCAAAGCTTACTAGTACCCAGGATCTCACTGTGCCCTATGATATAGTCCAAGGAGTTATGTTCAGCCTAATTCGCCGATGAGGAGCCTGTAGCTCAGAGAGGCTCAGTGTCTTGCCTGAGGTCATACAGCCAGGAAGAGGCAGAGTTGGGATTTGAACCCAGAACTCTGGCTCTTTCCGTGGTTTCCGGAGCTGGAGCCTTGCCGCCGGGACCCCTTGGCGCACAAAGAGGGAAGGTGTCTGGGAGGTTGAGGGGACTTCCCTGTGACCCCCACCTTTGCCTGCAGCTCTGATTCCCCTGGGGATACTGGGAAGTGTCCAGTATACCTTCTCCAGCCTCCCGCTTGTGACCGGGGAATTCCTGGAACTGGACCTCAACGTGAGTGCCTGGGCTTTGGGGCAACGGGGGCGGCACTCTCCCTACAGGCAGGGGTGGGAACGAGAGTCCCCCGAGGCTTCTGCTAAACACCTGGGAAGCGACATTTGAACAGGACCCTTTTATAATTGGATGAGGCCCTTCTAGGATCAGTGTCAAAAAGCCACAATCACAGCCAGCACTTGTTAAGTGCTTACTGTGTACCGAGAACATTTCCAGTCTGACCTCACAGCAACCATGTGAGGTTGGCATGCTTATGGAGGAAACTGAGGCACGGAGAGGTTAAGCCACTTGCCCAAGGTCACACACCCAATAAATGTGCACCTGGGATCTGAGCCCAAGCAACCCAGCTCCTAACTGCTAGAGCGGCCGCTCAGGGCTTGGGCTTCCCCGGGGAATGAGCCTGGCCAGTGGTGTGCTGGCAAGCACTGACATCAGCTGTCATGACGAACAAATCCCGATTTGCAGCATTTGCTGATTTCTGTGGTATAAATACTCCCACCGCGGCAAGTTTCAGGCTACCAACATGACTCACCGAACGTGGAGTCGGGAAAAGATGCGTGCACTTGGCCCCTGTGAGCTGGTGTGAGCTGGTGTGAGCTGGCTCCAGCATACCACCGAACCCAGCCCCTAACTGACTTTTGTACTCCCCCCAGGCTGCACAAACGCGGGTGCTTTCCCACTTGCTCCACAGGATACCGAGCGCAGGTGCACACCCACACCTTCATGTACACGGCACACCTGTGCACAGCTAGTATATTCATAAACACTGTGTGCCAGACTCGGGCTGGGCCTGAAGGTGCCGTGGTGCACAGGGCAAGATTTCTGACCAGATGGAGCTTGGGTCTATTGGAGGGCACAGGCCATCCGAGAATCGCTCAAATGTACAAATATAGACCGTGAGCACCGCGAGAGAAGGTCCCAGGCTATCAGAGCCTAAAGCATGAATATGATGTACCCAAGGAGGTCATGGAGGGCTTCCTGAAGGAGGTGACACTTGAGCTGAGACCTGCCAGATGAATGGAACATACAAGAGAAGAGTGTGGGGGAGGGAAGAGTGTGTGGGAGGCACTACAGTGGGTTTACTCAGGTGGTGGCAGGGACTTACAAGGCTCTGGTGGCCCTGATAAGGCTCTGTAGAGGGGGGTGAGGGGCAGAGTGGCTCAAGATGAGGTGGAGAGGACACTGGGATAGACCTTACGAGGCCTTGTAGGCCATGGAGAAGAGTCTGGTCTCTGGAGAATAGATTCATCCATGTGTAGGTGCATAAGCATGCTCACTACATCGGGGCTAGTGGGGAAGGACCCATGCCATATGTGTATTTGAAATATATGGCGATATACCATGGCTATAATTATAAGTGGTGCTAAAGTGGGAACTGCAAGAGATCCCATCACAAGTTGAAGAAGATGTCAGGACCATAAATGAGTCATTCAGACACAGTGGGTTTAATCAAGGAAGGCTGCCTGGAGGCAGATTCAGGGTCTCTCCCAGCCTTCAGCCTCCTTTCTCGATTCTTGTGCCTGCACCCTTCCCTCTGACCCCTTCCCTCCCTGCTCCCCCAGACTCTGGTTGGGGAGGCTGGAGGAAATCTCATAGACTATCCACTGGGGCGTCCAGCCATGGCTCCCCGGAAGATGCCAGAACTACCCCCCATGGGCGACAACACCAACTCCCAGCTGGCCATTTCTGCCAACTTCCTGGGCTCGGTGCTGGCTCTCCTGCAGAAGCAAGGGGCGCTGGACATAGACATCACTGATGGCATGGTGAGTCTTGGCCCCATCTGGGGGCGGGGCAGGCTGGGCAGCAGCTAGCTTCCCATTGATCCTGTAGTCCCGTGCATGACCTTGGGGAAACCGCTTTAAAGCGAGAATATGGACAGCCCACCCCTTGACTGATCTCCAGTTCATGGGTATGATCGATTATGTAAATGCTTGCCAGCATGGTGTCCAGGAAGATTTTAGGTGATTCGCAGACATGGCATTGAACAACATCAAATCATATAGTGAGAAAGTTTCTCACTATTCAATTTTATTTAAGTTTATTCCAATCTTTTTTAAAAAGCGCAATATATATTCATTTGTATGTATCTCCACATAAGTGTTTAGAGTCCTTCCACGTGGACTCACTGACGCCCACCTGTTTTAATGAAGAACTGCACTTTTAGAGCCCAAGAGTGAGGTCTTGCCTCCTGCCCTCTAAGTCATGCCTGTGGTAAGCTGAAGTGGCCGGCCTTGTCACTTAACCACAGAACAGCTGCCTGGTCCACGTGGTGGCTGCCGTCGGGCAGTGGGGCCTCCCAAGGGGTCTGTAAGGGGCAGGAGAGGCCCCCACTGGTTGTCGGAGAGTGTGCAGAAGTTAATCACTGTGTTGGCGACTCCTTTCTGTCCCCATAGCCTCAGGGACTCACATAACTCTTCTTCTTGTCCTGCAGTTTGAAGAGCTTCCTCCACTCACCACGTCCACGCTGGGGGCCTTGATTCCCAAGGTATGTAAGGCGGCGCATCTCCCCCTCTTCAGCCTCACCCTCCTCCCAGGAGCTGACACTCAGCACTTGGGTGAGATGCTCTGACCGCCCCCTCCCACCTTGGGGGTGCAATAAAAATGGCTTGAAGGCCAGACCCTTATGAGAGAGGGGCCTGGAGGGTTGAGGTGAAAAGACCCTAAGCTCTAGCTGTGGACTGGCCTGCATTTGGGGTGATCCTGGCTTGGCTACTTCCTCACTGCCTTGCTGTGTGTCTTCAGGCAAGTATCTTAACATCTCTGAACCCTAGTTTCCTCGGTCAAAAAGGGGTGCCAACTCCTATTCTGCCAGTTAATCTAGGAGGGTGAAAGGAATGAAGGACACAGGGCACATGTGGGTGCATGATGACTTCGAGGGAAAAACAACCAGACCTTAGGAGCAGATAGACATGAATTTGCATTTCAGCTCAGCACATCCCCATACCTCAGGCAAATGACTTCTCTCTCTGAGCCTCAGTTTTCTCATCTGGAAAACGGGGCGACAATGTTCACCTCACAGGGTGGTCGTGGACCTGGGATTTGAATCTAGACACAGAGGAGATATTTGCTAAATGTTCACTATTCTTCTCTTTGTTAGCAATAACAAACTCATTTTTTAAAAAAAGCAAATGCACTCTTGTCAGATTGGCAGCCATATGTAGTTGGAACAAAGACCCTCTTGGCTCAACCCTCATCCCAATGCTGGTCCCAAGCCTGTTCCCCTGGACCTGGCAGCAAATAATGTCTGCGTGTTATCGAGGTGTGAAAGATTGCTGTAGTCCACAGCCATCTGAGACATTTTTCATCTCTTTTTCACCTGTCTTGTCTAGTACTGGGTAGAATTCAAAGCAGTCAGGAAGGAGGCCAAACTCAACAAATAGTCACTATCGCCCTCATGTGGTCAAAAGCTGAATGGCAGAGCACCATGATCTAATATTACAAGCAGGGGCCCCTCCCAGGAGGCAGGTGGATCCATCCAACCGGACTTTTATTTATCGAGCCACTTCTTATGAGCCCTGCACTTTACAGTTTACTGATTTTTTTTAAAGAATTCTTTCTCTCATTTTGCTCTAATCGTGCCCCCATCCACAGGGCCAGAAGGGGATAACCCATTTTACAGATAGGGAAACAGAGGCTCGGAGAAGTCACACAATATGACAGCAGCAGAGCTGGCATAGGGACTCAGGGATGCAGGCCTTGAAAGGGGGTTGTGTCTGCAGCAGGGGACTCAGGATAGACACTGAGGAATGTGTCCTGGAGACCCAGGCTGGGGCAAGTCACCGGCAGAGGCTTGGCCAGAGCTAACATGGGCATCCCGAGCCCCCCGCATCTGTGGGGGGAAGGTCGAGGGAGCTTCTCAGCATCCCTGGGAGGACGGACGGGTGCTGCTAATTCTTGAAAGCTCTGTTTGTCGGGCCGGGGGCAGTGAGGACACAAGGCCCCTCCGGGCAGTATCTTGAGAATCCCTTTGTGTAAAGCCAAGTCACCAAATTGCCGATGTGTTGGGAGCCAGTTTACCAAAGGTGAACTCACTGAGTGGTTAATTGGCTGAATTTACTAGATTTGCCAATAGACCAGGAGGTTGTTCAGAAGACTTTCACCTTGAATGTGTCCAAGGAAACAAATGAAGTCTTCCTAGGGCCAGGGCTCACACTCCTGCATTATATATGGAAAAGTTTTCAGCTTGATGGATTTTTTTAAAAAAGTAACTCTATGGTTTTTCTCATATACTTATGCCCATTTAATATATTTAAGAAAAATGTTCTTTTTAAAAAAGGTCTTGGTAAATCAGTTATTTAGCAATTATGGAAAACTGGTTGTTTGATGAGTTGTTCCTTTGCACATTAGATTCTGTAGCAAACTGGCTCAGACCCCTCCCCCTGTGGGTCTCCAGAGACCCCAGCAAGTCCTGGGCAGGCTGCCTCGCTCCGGGACTTCAGTGTGGGACACCCCAAAATGTGGGCTTTCCCATCCCAGCTGGGGCATCTAAAGGGGGACAGGGCCTGGGCTTCTGAGTGACACAGACCTGGGCGGGACCCAGCTCTCCTGCTGGGCTCAGATAATGTGCTTGGTGTTTCCCTCTGAGCCTCAGTCTTCTCATCTGCAACATGGTGAAAAATACCCATAGAATTGTGATAATTTAATGACATCATGAATGTCTAGGAGACTCCATCTTACTCAGTACCAGGTTTCAAGCATTTTCATGCATCTGGCATTGAGTGAGCTTGTATCTTCGCTGGTGTCGTCACGGTTAATTCTCACAGGAACTCTATGGCAGAGGCTCAGAGAAGGCAGCTCTTTGCTCAGACCCAGCAGCAGGCTGGAGCCTTTACGAGTGGTTTGAGTCAAGTGATGCCCTTGGACCTGCGGTAGTCAGTGTGAGACCCCCACTACCCAGGGCCCTGCTCAGCCTGGCCTGCTGTCTACCCACAGGTGTTCCAGCAGTACCCTGAGTCCCGCCCACTCACCATCAAGATCCAGGTGCCAAACCCACCTTCAGTGACACTGCAGAAGGACAAAGCGCTGGTGAAGGTGCTTGCCACTGCAGAGGTCATGGTGTCCCAGCCCAATGACGTCGAGACCACAATCTGCCTCATTGATGTGGTGAGTGTCGGGGAGCATGGGTGACCACGTGGTCTCCGGGCGTCCACAGACTCCTTCAGATCTCTGCAGTCCCCACCAGAGTGACTGCTAGCTCGGCTCTGGGGCCAGATGATCTGATTCAAATCCAGTCTTAATCACTGCTGGCTGTGTGACCTTGGGCAAGTCATTCCCCCTCTCTGGGCTTAATTTTCTCTACCACATGGGTATGGCAGCAGGGCATTATTAAGATGCTCAGAGCAGTATCTGATATTTCATAAGGGCTCCAAAAGTGTTAGTTATTATTATTTCCATAGGTTTTATATCACAGTGCATGGCAAAGTAGGTTTTGGTCATGCATTCATCAACATGCATTCAGCAATATTTACTGTGTACCTACTATGTGTTATGCTCTCTGCTAGGTACTGGAGGAAGGGGAAACTAGACAGGTGGTACTGGCTCTCCTGTCCCTGGTACCCAGCAGGGGATAGATGCAAATATAATTTCCACAACTATTGCATAGAGAGGGATCACCTTAAAATCATGTTGCTCTCTTTCTTAAGAGGCTCTGTCAGCCCTGAATTATAAGCCAATCACCTCGCCATGGCCCACAAATCACCCCCTGGTCACCTTTTAGCTCCTCAATCTTTCTTCTGAAATGCCGGGCACAGTGCCACCCCAGGCCTTTGCACATGCTGTTCCCTCTGCCTGGAATGCTATTCCTCTGGATATCTGCATGGCTCATACCCTCATTTTCTTTAGGTCTCTGCTCAGATCTCACCTCCTGACCACCTGTCTGAAATATCCCCACCCTTCCCATCTCTCTCTCTTTCTCTCTCTGCTTTCCTTGCTTTACTTTGTCTGTACTCCTAACTGACATTGTAAAATGTACTTGTTTGTTAGTGTACTGCTGGGCAAGATGCAAATTGTCTGGATCCCCAGAGCCTGGCATAGGGTCCAGCACATGGGAAGTGCTTAGTAGATACTGTCAAAGGAATGTGTTGCAAACAGTGCCATTTCCCCCTCCACGGTCAAAGCTTTAAACTCAGACATTTGGGTTCTGCCCCATCTACTATGCCTGCCTGGTCTCTTCACCCAGAACTCAAGACCAAATGAGCCCCTTCTAGTCTGGGAGGGGGGAGCACACTTAGCCCCAGTGTGGCGGAGGGGCCTCTCATCGTCAGAGGAGAGATTCAAAGGGCTGATTCTCACCCAGGAGTGGGGATGGCTGCCCTGACTCAGCCCCACGTGACTAGTCCCCGCTGTGTGGAGCTTTCTCCATCAACAGCCCCGATGTTTGCTGATCCGGCCCAGACCTCTGCCACAGCTCCCCGGTGCCCCCAGATGCAGCCCGAGTCCTCTCCAGCCCAACACCCCTGCCTGGCCTGGCTCCATCCCACTCCAGCCTCCTGGGGTCCTGCCACCTCCTCGATCTCTGGCCTCTTCTCTGTCCATCCAGTGCCAGCCTCTTTCCGCCCCAGGGTTTGCACATGCCCTTCCCATGGCCTGGACCACGCTCATACCCTCTCCTCCATGTGGCCACATCCTGCCTCTCCTCCAGGCTCCATTCAAAAGCTGTTTCCTCATGAGAGGATGGAATAATTTCTGTGCCCAGTAGGTCTCTGCCATATACACCCAGGCACCCCAATGACCGTTATTATTGTTATTACTAATGATGTCACCTGGATTTGTTAGAAGCTTCATTTTTTTTATAAGACCAACTTATTTTATTTTATTTGTTGGGTTGGGGGAGAGACAGGGAAGCAGAGGGATTTCCTATAACAAGGCTTCTGCTTGGAGAGGGGGATGAGTTTGAACATTTTATCCCTATCATGGAGGGGAAGACAATATGATTGACAGTGATGATGCCCAATCCCATCCAATAGCTCATCTGAAGCAGGTTTCCTAGGCTACCAGCCACCCCACCCCTTTTGAGACGGCTCTGAGAAGCACAAGCTTTACACCCCTGCCAATCTTTGGTTTCTCTTCCTGTGACAGCTGTCTCTCTGAGAAGTATTCACTTGCCCTGGCTGTGATTTACTGGTGAATGACAATTGAGGGCAATTCATTACTCCTAACCCCCTCCCCTCCAGAAGGGGGAAATCGACTATACGGTGACTCAGCTTACAAAGGGAGGTTTGGCCAAAACTCAGGGAATAGCCTGCTCTTCTGCTCAGCGTTAGTGGAGCTCCCAGCCAGTGCCCACACACAGCGAGCCCTCAGCCGGCCGTGGCCAATATATGATGGCGCTGACATTTCGCTCTCCTTCCCTTGCCTCCAGGACACAGAACTGCTGGCCATGTTTTCCGTGGAGAACGATAAGCTCATGATTGACGCCAAGCTGGACAAGTAAGGGGGTTTGTGACCTCGGGCTCCTGCCCCTCAGAAAGGACACTTAGGTGCTCCGTGTCTGGTGCCAGCCCACGGAGGGACACCAGGGAGGGCTTAGCAAGCAGTCTCCTGGCGTGGCTCCAGCGCTGGAGGCTGCCAAGGTGAACATGGGCTGTGCCTGCAAGACCCCTGGCATGAGCCTGGCAGGAAGGTGAAGCCGTGAGCTTAATAGAAGGAACCTACTGCCAATAGTAACAACATCAGTAATAATAACGAGCCAGTGATGATGCCATGTAGGCTCCGCACTAGGGACTCATCTGCATTATCTTGTTTAGGCTTGCAGTAGTCCTGCAGAGTCAGGGGTGTTATTCTCCCATTTTAAAAGAGGAGAAAACTGGGGCTCAGAGAGGTGGACTTACTCACTCAGGGCCACACAGTGAGTACAGAGAAGGGCTGTGAGCCAGCCAAGGTTTCTCTGACCTAGAGCTGTGTTGAATGGTTACATGCATGGGCTTTGGAGCCAAGCAGCACCGGTTCAAATCCCAGTGTGACTGCTGACTGGCTGTGTGACACAGGCCAAGTGACCTGGCCTCTCTGAATCTCCATTTTCTCACCTGAAAATGGGGATAATTGTCCCTACCTCATAGGGCTCATAATAATAATAACTGTTATTCGCTGGACACTTTCTGTGCACCAGCTAAGCATTCAGCTAAGCCCTAACTGTGTCTTCATTCGTTTAATGTTTGACATCAGCCTATGTAGGTATTATGATTGTTCCCATTTCAAGATAAATGAGATGGAATGTAAAAATTTCAGCTCTTGCCTATTTCTTTTTTTTTTAAAGATTTTATTTATTTATTTTTAGAGAGGGAAGGGAGGGAGATAGAGAGAAAGAGAGAGAAACATCAATGTGCGGTTGCTGGGGGTTATGGCCTGCAACCCAGGCATGTACCCTGGCTGGGAATCGAACCTGGGACACTTTGGTTCCCAGCCCGCACTCAATCCACTGAGCTACGCCAGCCAGGGCCTTCATGCCTATTTCTTAAGTTTTGCTTCTTAAAACAAATATTTACAAGACAATGATGGCAGTTACTCATAGTGTGTTACTGATCAGAGAGCGTGTAAGGAGGTGACGTTGCACCTGAGGCCCGGATGTGAAGGGTCTCAGGAAGAGCTGGGGTTTCCTGCGGTGCAAGCCGCACAGGCAACCTTGGAGGGGCAGGAAAGAGCTCAGGTGTTGCAGATGGGATGATGGAGGGGGAAGGGGAGATGGGAGTGGAAGTCAGGAAGGAATAAAACATTTGTCCCTCTCCTGCTGGTTGCTTCAAGCTGGTTGCTGACTCTGCCCCATGTGGTGAGTCTGGTCTGGCCTCTCTTGGGTAGGACTGTCAGTTTGCAGGTGAGATTTGGGCACAGAGAGACTGAGGTCCTCATAGACCGAGTGCAGAGGGAAACCTTGAACCCAGGCCTCGGGCCTCCCTGCTCAGAACAGCACAGCAGCCAAGAGCACAGGCTGAGAGTGAGTCCTGGGCTCTCCCTCCCGAGCTCGTGGCCATTGCAAGTTAGCCTGCAGCCTCAGGTTCCTCCCCACAGCATTGCTGAAATTATTAAACAAGACGGTGATGACTGTGCATGCCATGTGCCAGGCACAGTTCTAAGGGCTTTACTCGAATTACCTCATTTAGGCCTTGTGTCCATCCACACTGCAGAGGAGGAAAATGAGGCACAGAGAGGTTAATTGTTTTGGCCAAAGACACACAGCTAGCAGGTGGTATAGCTGCACTTGGAACCCTATGAATGTGCTATATAAAGCCCTGGCAGCATGTCTGGGACATGGTTGGTGCTCAATTCTTGGAGTCCACCATTGTCCTTAACTCCCCCCAGATCAAGAGGGGTCCTCAGGAGGATGCTGGTGGAGGGGCTCCTGATAGCTTAGTGACATGCAAGCCCCCCGTGATTCTCAGGCGACCACTGCTTCTGACGGGCTGTCTGCTTTGTCCGCAGGACCAGCCTCCACCTCAAAACCTCAAATGTGGGCAATTTTGATGTAAGTACCAAGCTCAGGCCCCAGAGTGAGATCTTCTGGGAACGGCATTTCCCGTGAGACCGGCTGGGGCCCAGGGTGGGGGTCGTGAATTCCAAAGCATTGGCATCAGCTCCGTCAGGCCTCCTGTCACAGGTGGGGAAACTGAGGCCCACAAGCCTGGGAGGGGCAGAGCACAGACTCACTGCTGCCACCCGGCCTGGGGTGCCGCCCCATTGTAACTGCCAGCCCCAGGGAGGCCACTTGGCCCAGATCTCTTCACTCCAGGCTGGCGAGCTCAGGGTGGGGGCAGCCACGTCCCACGGGGCCCCTTTCTCCCCAGACTAGGAGGGTCTGCTCGGCCACTGACTCCCTTATGACGGTGACAATGCCAGCCCACCCTGCGCCTCTCTTTCCTCGTCTGTGAAACAGGCAGGTTTGGGTCCGTTCCTAATCTCCCTTCTAGCCTGCTTTCTGGAACTCTGCTTTTCTGATCTGAGACACTCATATTCCAGGGTTCGTCTTATTTCAGCTCTTTTGTTCTTGGGTCCCCCATCTGAATTAAGGCCTCAGAAACACCCCTCTTTAAAAAATTTTTTTTCCAATGAAACAGTTGCTTGCTTCCTAGGACAAGCTCGGGGGATTTCCACGTGTGCAGAGAAAGTCAAATACTCACTGTGTCACCCCCTTTTTAGCTTTTTGAACCCAAACAACTGTAATCCGTGGGGATGGGGTGGCCAGCTTCATCTTGCAAATGGGGATACTGGTGCTCAGAGAGGGGCAGTGAGGTGCCTCACAACCAGTTTCTGGCAGAGCGGGGGCTAGAGCTGGGGTCTCTGGGCTGAGAGTGGAAAAAGAAGCTAACAGTGTGAAGTCGGAGAACATTTATGGAGCAACTGTGATTAGCAGCAGGAAAAATCACACTAAAAAAAATAGCAACAAGCTATTCTCATTTCATCCTCACAAAAACTGAAAGATTTGAGTACAGTTATTAGCCCATTTTCCAAAGAAGGGAGCCCAGCCCAGAGAAGTGAGGTGACTTGCCCAATATCACTGGGCTAGGAAGAGGCCGTGCTGAGTTGCAAGTCCTTTGTCCTTGGCCCTGTGGTACCACATGGTCCTGCTCCACGGCAAGTGTTCTACTTGTAGGAACTGAGTCTGGTGTCGGCATCACCCTGTGAAGGAAGGATTATTCACTCCCAGTTTTGGATGTGGGAACCAAGGCTTAGAGAAGCTCAGAGAGATCATGTAGGAAGGGGCTCCAGACCAGGCATTTTACATGAGCGGCCCATAGCCTTCACAGCGTCCTTATAAGCTGAGCTTTGCGGGCCCACTTCTCAGATGAGGAAACTGAGGGTCAGAGAGGTGAGGGAACCTTCTCAGAGGCCCGTGGAGGCTGACCTGGGATGGAAACCCAGCATACTGGCTGCAGGGTCCAAGGGCCTTCGGTGACGTCGTTGTGGTTTCTGAACAATCCACCACAGACCCCGTGCTCTGTGCCTCCTGGGGAGGAGCTGGCCTTCCCTCAGTCCCTGCCTCCCCATGAACCCTGGACCTGAGGTCGCGCTGCCTGAGGCCTCGGCCTCCCCATCTGTGCAGAGAGCGAGCTGTCCAGCTCAGCAGGTCTGGAGTCACGGAGCTCTGCCTGCCAGCTCCCAGACGGTCCCAGAGCAGCTCTGCACTCTCCTTTCATGTCACAGGGCAGGGCCCAAGGGTGCCCTTGGCATCCCAGTGACCCGTCGCCGGGGCTGAGTCCTCGTTCCTTCCCTGCAGGTGGGCCTCATGGAGGTGCTGGTGGGGAAGATCTTCGACCTGGCGTTCATGCCCGCAATGAACGGTGAGAGCGGGTGCCTGCCCCCCCGGGGCACGTGGCCTGGGCAGCGGGTGGCTGCTGGTTTGCCGGGAATGTGTGCTGTGCACAGCCGTCCACCTCGATAGCACCCCTGAGAACTCCGGTCCAACTTATGTGCTGGAGCCCTGCACGCAGCGCTGCCACGAGGGCCAGACAGCGTCCGTGTTCGCTGCTTCTGCTTCGTTGACGTTTTTTTCTGATTTGGCTGATTGTTTTTGCTTTTCTGATTATCTATGTCAAATTCTGGTTGTACATAAACGTTACACGTATGTACATTGTAGGAAGTCCAGAGCAGTTTAAAAAAGAAAATCTCACCTCCAGGGTTAATTAACCTCAACATCTGGGGATCTTTCCTCCTAAACCCTTCTTTCTTCATTTTCCCCCAATACAGTCCAAGTTACTTTCTAATTTACGTTTCTATGTTTAATTTTAATTGTGGTAAAGTACACATAACATACAATTTACCTTCTTCACCATTTTAAGGTGTATGGTTTAGTATCGTTAAGTATATTCACATTGTTATGTTCCTGGCTTGTTTTTAATTGTGTATTTATTTCTACTTATATGTGGACTACATACAGACATTATTATTATTATTATTATTGTAAAAAGCTCAATTATTACAGAGAAAGCTAAAGTTGCTCTCACCGATACTCCCAGCCTCCTAACGCACGGTTGGCCTCCTAGGCAGCCATACTGTCAGTTAGAGGGTTTTCTCGCCCAGCTTCCTAAACAGAAGAGATGGCGTGTGGTTCTGCCCCTGCAGCTGCTTGTGGAACTGTGGGGCCATCTGGAGGCTGGGCCAGATGCTCCCTCAGCTGGGTAGCCCCATTAGGATGGGAAGCCGCAGTCCCCAAGCCATCCTGCTACTCAGCTCCGACTTCTCTCTCCCGCCACTGCTGTACCAGCCGGGGTCTATCGGGGAGCTCTTGATGTCAAACAGACCCTTATTCTGGGAACTGTCACAAGAGGAGGTTGAATCTCAATTGCAGGAAAGTGTGGGTCGGTCACAAAGCCCACTCACACTCCCCCAGGAGAGGATGATGTCAGGAGCCGGGCTGGGCTGGGCTGGGTGGAGAAAAGAGATGGAGACTCGTCCAGCTGGGTCCCTGGGAGGCGGTGTGACCTTGGCAGCGAGTCCCTCCATCTGGCTACAGTGTAATCCACCGTTTTCAAAAGCGAGAGACTGGATTAGACCCATGATTCCCCAAGTAGGCTCCAAGCAGAATTAGTCCCAGAGATGCTCTGAGAAGAGGGTTCCGTGGACAAGTAAGTTTGGAAAACACCGATGGTATTCCTCTGGGGCACATTCCCAATGTCCTTAGCTCCCTGCAAAGTCCCGCTGGAGTCAGAAAGTCTGTCTAACTTCAGATAGTCCAGCTTCGCCCACCTACCCATTTCTGCTTCCCTTCCTCTCTTCTTCCTGTATGACTTCCTTTTTTTCTAGAACACTAACTGGCAGGTCCACTTAGGCTCTGACCACCTACAAGCAAACAGTACACCCCACGGTGGTCTTTGCTGGCCTCACGTGCCCCCGTCCACACCTTCATTCAGCAAACATCTGCTCTCACCTCTGCCCCTGGCCCTGGGCTGGGTGATGCTGGGGACGCTGTGCTCGCCTGCCAGAGACCCACAGCCTGGTCCAGACAGGCGGCCGAAGCAGAAACGGAGAATCAGTATTGCGTGGTTTCTGTGAAGGAGTTGTTCAGGAGGAGCGGCAGGAGCCCAGAGTTGCTCGGCCTGGGGCGAGAGAGCGTCCAAACAGTGTCTCAGGAAGGCTGAGGACTCGGCAGGCAGACAAGAGTGGGGAGAGCGCTCTGGGCAGGAGGCACTGCGAGGACGAAGGCCTGGGGACATAGAAGAGATAACTAGTCTTCTTGCAAACACTGGCGGCTCTCCATAGGCTGACACGGCTTGGCCTTGCCGACTGTTCCTGACCATTTCTCCCCCCACAGCTGTGCTGGGCTCCGGTGTCCCTCTCCCGAAAATCCTTAACATCGACTTCAGCAATGCAGACATCGATGTCCTGGAGGTAAGGGGAGATAGAACTAAGGGAAGGGTGGGGCAGCAGGGGCCTCTTTTTTCAGAGGGTGGGCTGAGGCAATCAGAAACAAAGCTGCTAAGAAGCCTCAAATGAAGCTTTTCACATGCATGATCTCATCTAGTTCCCACGGCAGATGCCGTTGCCCCATCTTACAGATGGGAGTACTGAGGCCCAGAACAGCAAGGGGTTTGCCCCAGGTGGAACCGTGATGTTGTTCATTGGAACAACCTTTATTGAGTACCTGCTGTGTGCCAGGCAACATGCGAGGGGCTGAGAGTACAGCAGTGAACAAAATATGCATAATCCTGGCCCTTACAGAGCTCTGCCAGCCAGTGGGGAGATGGGCCTTTGGGTGAACACTCCCGAAGGAATTGCTAATTATAATCATGGCCAGTGCTTTCAAATTCAAATATCGGGGCCTCGTTTCCATCATAAAAACCACACGTGCTCAGTATCTGAACTTTGGAAAATACACAAAACATTAAACAAACACGTGTTTATCTTCCTAGACAGGGTGATCCTCAGGCCCCTGGGACCCCAAAGCCCCCGTGGTTCAGGGTTACTCTTTCCCAGAATGTGACTTGCCCGATCCAAAGGCAGGTGACTGTCTGCCCAGGCTGCAGCCAGAAGCCACCCCACCCACTAACTGGGTCCTCTGTTCTGCCCTCCAAGGACATTCTGGTGCTGAGTACCTGAGTGACAGGAGGGAGAGACGCTGCTGCCCGCCCTCCCACCCACCCCCACAGAAGAGAGCAGAGCCAGCCCTGGAAAGGCTCACCTAACAGAGTTCCCTGCTCCCCAAGTCCCTTCGGCCCCCACAAAAGGTCCCTTCCCAGCCCTCCCAACCTCTACCCACCTGACCCCACCCCAAGAAAGGATCCAGCCATTCGTTGCCCCTATTGGCAAACAATTCCAACCACGGTCAGCCCCCGACTCAGCCCCCTCACCGGGGGAGGAAGTTCGCCTCGAGGACCCAGGCCTTTCGACTCCACATTGGACTCCACGCTGAGCACTTTAAGCTTTCAATAAAAGATTTCACCCTCCCTGCAGTCAGAGTGCATCTCCATGAAGGACCCTCTCTCAGGGTCCGGTGTTTGCCCCGGCACATGGCTATGCCGGGGCACCTGGCACATTGCAGCTGCAGCTGGATAGAGGTCGAGTTTGTTCAAGACCAGAAAACACCAGACACCTCTGAGGCCCTGCAACAGCAGGGTGGGTGGGGGGCTTTTGATTCAGTTCTCACTGCGGTCCTCAGCACTCTGCGTGGCGGATCCCTCTTGCCTTGGTTTCCCCTGCCATGCCTCAGCACATGGGAGAGCCAGGATTCAGAAGCTACAAGTTCAAAATCATCAGAATTCACAAAATCAGTGGGATTTCTTGTAGCCTCACTCCTGTGTGCCATGATGACAAGGGTCCCCTCTCCTTTCTCAGTTTTCAATCGCCCTCTCCCCCTTCCTCTCTCCACCGTGCTCCCAGCGCCTGCTCCCAGGTCCCAGGGGCGAGGTAAGAGACTAAAAACAGATGGGCGTCAGCCCCATCCTCCTGAGAGAGAACTCTCGTTTGTTGGGCACTCACCGCCTGCTGAGCCCCGCACCGAGGCTTGGGACTTGATTCCATTTAACCTCATGAGAGCACCAGGAGGCAGGTACCAGGATGGTCCTTGTTTTGCACACGGGGAAACCAAGGCACCAAGAAATGCACAACCTGCCCAAGGTCACACAGCAAAGTGACAGAGCTGGGGCTGGAACCAGATGATTTCGCTCCAGGGCCCACGCTCTAACCGCCCACGACATTCCTTCTGTTCATGAGTTTCATGGGGGAAGCCCTTGGCTAAATTTTGCCCCAAAGCGGTTTAGTCCCCAGAGCAAAGAAAGCATCAAGAGTCACACGCAGGCACAGCAGTGCCTCTACAAGAAGAGAGGCAGCCGCTTCCACTCACATTTCATTGGCCAAAGTGGTTCACATGACCCTGCCTGACCTCAAGGGGGAAGTGCGATCCTTTCCTATGCCCAGGAAGGGGAGGAAGACCAGGAATGCCGATGAGCATAAGCGATGTATTCCACCCTCTCAAGTGGAGGCTGGACATGTGGCTGAGAGAGACCTAGGCTCCTGTTGCCATGGAGATTCTGCAGAAATACAAAGTCGCCCCAAGCCTTCAGGTCCAGCCTGGGGAAGCCCAGATGCTGCAGCAGCTTAGAAAAGGAGCAAGAAGGCTCCCAAATCAATTCTTTTTTTTCTTTTTAAGACTTTATTTATTTATTTTTAGAGAGGGAGGAGAAAGAGAGAGAGAAACATCAATATGCATCAATGTGCGGTTGCTGGGGGCTGTGGCCTGCAACCCAGGCATGTGCCCTGACTGGGAATCGAACCTGCAATGCTTTGGTTCACAGCCTGCGCTCAATCCACTGAGCTATGCCCACCAGGGCTCCAAATCAGTTCTTCATGAGCATGTCCTCGGTTAGAAACAAAGCCCAGTGCCTGTGCACTCAGCGAGGCCTAGCCCCTGGCCACGTATTGGCTGCTCAGAGCGATGCTATCTTCCCCTCCCCTCCCCTCAAGGCACCTGGCAGCCCTGCCTGCCCGACAGGGAGGGAAACAGCCAGTCCCTTCATATTAAAAACTATCAGACAGCGTTCCCCGCCAGCAGGACAGCTTTGGACTTCACTCAGCTCTTGCACCAGGAGGCCAACAAAGAGTAAGACCCTAGAGTCGGGAGAAGGGGACTCAGATTCCATCTCCGTCACTTGGTTGAGTTGGTGAGGCCCTTAGCCCTCTGAACCTCAACTGCCCCATTTATAAATGGGTAATAAAAAAAACTATGATGTGATATATTGTATTAATATAACAATGCTAACATAATTTGTCATAAAACAATAGATACAATTTATTATTATTATTACACTCTGAGTATGAGGATATTTAAAAGATCATTTTTTTCCTGAAGTTCTTAGCACTGCAGCTGGTGAAACCCCTTTTATGCAATTAAGATATTTTTGGGGGAGCATCTTTATAGACACAATCCCCCCGACAGGCCTAAAAGCCCCCTGGCATGGGGTGCTGGCACCTGGGCTTCATAAGCTTCACAGGTGGATGGGGGAAAGCCCAAGGAGCGTCGCTGTAGTCTGCCTTCCCAGTTGTGCACTCAGAGAAACTGAGGCTGGGAGGGAGCAAGTGGCACCTAGTGAGCAGGTGGCAGAGGTGGGTTAATAAGACCCAGGTGTTTGGTGCTCAGCCCTGAACTCGGTGGAGCCTGACTTACTCACGAGGTGTTTCAAGGGATTCCCCCAAACCCCAGGAGTCTGTCCCTCTCCCCTCCATGGAGGCACAAGGCAGTTCTAACAGAGTCCGCTCAGCCGTCAGCTCCCAGCCCCAGTCGCTCTCCAGGCAAAAGGTGACTCGCACAGGGGGGCGAACGTAGAAGCCCTAGGGGGGGCCTCGGAGCCCAGCTCTCAGGAGCCCTTGTTCTGAGCCCAGAGCTGACCCTGCCAGGCCCTGCTTCCCACCCCGCCCCCGCCCCCGCTCCCCACCTGAGTGCTGACACAGTCACCTGCTGACCTACGCATTCATCTGCCCCTGGGGCATTCTGCATACCCCTCCCCACCCAGTCTCTCACTGTCCTCCCTCTGCCTGCACTCATCCCTCCTTCCAGACTTCTCACAGCCCCTCCCCCAGCCCCAAGTCGCTGGGACCGTTCACACTGTTTTGTTGTCATTGTCCTGGCTCAGGACCTCGTTCCCTGGTTTTCTGGACCAGAAAGTCTCCCAGACCCTGTCCCTGCCCAGATCTCAGCGCCCGCTGCAGCCAGCTCTTCCCCACAGTCTGGACATGGAAGCCGGTGTGCCCTCCCCTTTCTCCGACTGTTCAAGGCATCAGGGACTCGTGTGGGGCATCTGCCTGCAGCCTTAGGAGACACACTGTGACTTTCCGTCCGAACACTGCCGAGTGAACCCCAAGCCTTCTTGTTTGCACTGAGTAATAGAATTTTTATAAATCAGGTGCCTCTCAGATCTCCTTCACTGAAGTTGAGTTTAGATACATTAAGTGCACACATCATAAGCATAGAGCTGGCAGACTCTGTATAAAGTGAACCTTCCCAGGTGCTGCGGGCTGGATGCGACCACCTCCCCATACTGACGTGTCGAAGGCCTAACGCCTAGTACCTCAGAAAGCAACTGTTATGGACATAGCGCTTTTAACGGAGTTAAAATGAGGCCATGAGGGTCAGTCCTAATCCAATATGCCTGGTGTCCTTTGAAGAAGAGAAGGTTGGTGCTAGGGCGAAAAGGCAAGGCAGGGAGAATGAAGGGTTCAGAGGAAGGGGAGGAATTTTGGGTACAGAGGTCAGAGAAGGCCTCACTGAAGGGACTTAGAGTAGAGACTGCAAGGGGTGAGAGAGGCAGCCATCATTACACCTAGGGCATGAGCCACCCAGGCAGAAGGGACAGCATGTGCAAAGGCCCTGGGGTAAGAGAAGCGCCAGCATGTTAGAGGAATAGTTAGAAAACCAGCAAAGATTTTGCACAGCTAACAAATGGGAAAAGAACAGGTGAGGTTGGGCAGGCAAGCATCAACAACATTTATTTTGATTAATATATTTTTCAAATTTCCTTTGACCGTAAGGCACTGAGTACTTACAATAATCTTTCAGATTGTTATTATTACAATTAACAATTATGTATGGTCTATTACAATTGTAGTGATAATGAAAAACAAAGTAATATTGATTTGGAAATAGGTGTTTTAATTAAATGGATGGGTTTTTTTCCAATTAGCTTTTTTATCTGTGAATTAGTTTAATGCTAGAAGGAATTCAGGTCAGAGATCTAGTTTTCATTTTTAGAGACCTAAGTGCTATAAAAAAATTTCTGCTTATTTGTTCAGCAGATAAGGAGATGTGAATGGGAGGGGTTGCATTAAAACAGTGGTGCTCAATCCTTTGAACTGCTTCCAATATACACGCCCCAGCTCACGTGGTGATGTGTTATCAGAAACTGCTTCTCGATAACTCCAAGTAGGTTAACACCAGTAGCAGCGGTAACACTCCTCCTTTGTTGGGAGCAAAGTGAAACCCACCGGGCTGGCTCCCTGATGGGTCCAGGGTCACTCACGGCCCCTTTCTTCGGAGCCCTGGAGGTCGCTGCTCTGGGGCAACCCACTTGAGTCAGGATTAGGGACAAAGAGGGAAATATCTTTCATAAAGAGGGACAAGGCACGTTTGTGGAAGGGAAGCTAGAGAAGGAGAAGCGACTTTGGAAAGGGTTCTTGGGAAAGAGAGCACGGGCACACCGAGAATCAGGACAGGGATTCCCATCAATAATCCTCTACAAACCCCTGGAAGGTTTTCCCGTATCCCTGCTCCAACCCTCTAGACTCACGACACGCTGTGGGAGATGCGTCTGCGAGCTTGGAGTTTAAATCCTGAAGCATCCTTTTATTATTGATGTGTTCTCAGGCTGGTTCACTAACTTGAGGAAGCCTCGGTTTCCTCATCTGTAAAATGGGGACAAGAATAAGGAATTAAAGGGCTTGGTCAGAGGACACCCGGCACATGGCAAGTGCTCAGAGAATCTTGGCTGCTAGTGAGACAATAGTTTGCATCTTCTTTACTAATGCATTATCACCATAGTTGTCATCATTACCCTCATTAATTCGGGGCTAGCTTGAGAGTGAGAGGGACCAGAGGGAGAGGACTTCCA